TTTCCAGGGAGTCTTACTGAGAAAGAAAAGCCCATCCTGCACGTGAGTACGTGAGTGTCATCACTCCGTGGTTTGGGGCCCCAGACTGAAAATGAGGCAGCTGATCCTGGGAGAAACAGTAAATGTCAGCACTCACCACACAGTGTCTGTGTTTGTGGACTATAGCTGCCTCATGCTCCAGCTACCCATGTCTTTCTCTCCATAACTGACTGTCTCCTGAACCCTCTCCCCCTTAAGTTGCTTCTTTTTATTATTATTACTTTAATTTTAAATAGCTTGCTTCACATGTGAATCCCAGTTCCCTTTCCCTCTCCTCCTCCCGCACCCCCTCACCATACCCCCCAGCCTCCCACCCTACCCCCACTTCCTTCCACATAGGGGATATCCAGAGTCTGTCATTTCGCTCAGGGCAGGGTCCAGGCACTCCCCCAAGAGTTCAGGCTGAGAGAGCATCCCTCTTTGTGCTATGGACACACGAAGTCTATTTGTATGCCAGGGATAAACACTGTTCTACTGCCCAGGGCCCCATAGGTTGCCCAGGCCTCCTCACTGACTCTCACACTCAGGGGATCTGGATCAGTCCCATGCTGGCCTCCCAGCTGTCTGTCTGGGGTCCAAGAGCTCCCCCTTGTTCAGATCAGCTGTCTCTGCTGGTTTTGCCAGCCCATTCTTTGCCAATTTGCTCATCGCTCCTCTCTCTCTGTCACTGGGTTCCATGGGTTCAGTTCAGTGTTTAACTGTGGGTATTTGCCTCTGCTTCCATCAGTCACTGGATGAAGGTTCTAGGATGGCATATAGTGTAGACATCAAGTTTATTATCAGGAATGGGCATTTAAGGTGGTCTCTCCACTGTTGCTTAACTTGCCAGTTGGTGTCATCCCTTTAGATCACTAGAGGTCTCACTGGTGCCAGATCTGTCTTCTAACCTATGACTCCCTCTTTTATGGTATTTCTCATCCTGTTTTCCCCCTATTCTACCCCCCACTCAACCTTCCTGTTCCCCCATGACCTACTCTCTCTTCCTCTTCTCCCCCTCTCTTCTTCCCAGCTCCCACTCCCCCCCGCACCCCTCACGTGTTCCCAATCTGTTCAGAAGATCTTGCCTCATTCCTCTTCTCTGGGATACCATGCATATCTCTCTTAGGTTCTCTCTGTCAGTGGAAGTGCAGACTGGCACTATCCTGATCCATGTCTAAAATCCATATATGAGTGAGTACATACCATGTTTGTCTTTTTGTGACTGGGTTACCTCACTCAGGATGGTTTCTTCTAGTGCCATCCATTTACCTGTGAATTTCAAGATTCCATTGTTTTTCTGCTGAATAGTACTCCATTGTGTAAATGTACCACATTTTCTCTATCTACTCTTCAGTTGAGGGGCATCTAGGTTACTTCCAGGTTCTGGCTATTACAAATAATGCTGCTATGAACATAGTGGAGCAGATGTCCTTGTTGTATGAATTTGCATCTTTTGGATATATGCCTAAGAGTGGAATTACTGGGTCTTGTGGTAAATTGATTCCCATTTTCCTGAGGAATCTCCATACTGATTTCCAAAGTGGGTGTAATCCATCATATAAACTTTGAAAGAAAAACCACATGATGGTCTCACTAGATGCTGAAAAAGCCTTTGACAAAATCCAGCATCCCTTCATGATAAAGGTCCTAGAGAGATCAGGGATAACAGGAACATACCTGAACATAATAAAAGCAATATACAGTAAACCAACAGCTAACATCAAACTAAATGGAGAGAAACTCAACACAATTCCTCTAAAATCAGGAACAAGACAAGGCTGTCCACTCTCTCCATATCTCTTCAATATTGTACTTGAAGTTCTAGCTACAGCAATAAGACAACAAAAGGAGATCAAGGGGATAAAAATAGGAAAAGAAGAAGTCACGCTTTCACTATTTGCAGATGACATGGTAGTTTACATAAATGACCCAAAAAACTCCGCAAGGGAACTCCTAGAGCTGATAAAGACCTTCAGCAAAGTGGTAGGATACAAGGTTAACTCAAAAAAATCAGTGGCCCTATTATATATAGATGATAAAGTGGCTGAGAAAGAAATCAGAGAAACATCACCCTTTACAATAGCCATAAACAGCATCAAATATCTGGGGATAATGTTAACCAAAAGAAGTGAAAGACCTGTATATCAAGAACTTTGAGTCTCTAAAGAAAGAAATCAAAGAGGACACCAGAAAATGGAAAGATCTTCCATGCTCTTGGATTGGTAGGATCAACATAATAAAAATGGCAATCTTGCCAAAAGCAGTCTACAGATTCAATGCAATCCCTATGAAAATTCTGGCACAATTCTTCACAGACCTTAAAAGAACAATAATCAACTTTATATGGAAAAACAAAAGACCCAGGATAGCCAAAACAACCCTATACAATAAAGGAACTTCAGGAGGCATCACCATACCTGATTTCAAGCTCTATTATAGAGTTACAGTCCTGAAAACAGCTTGGTATTGGCACAAAAATAGACAGGTAGACCAATGGAACCGAATTGAAAACCCTGATTTTAACCCACACACCTATGAACACTTGATTTTTGATAAAGAAGTTAAAATTATACAATGGAAAAAGAAAGCATCTTCAACAAATGGTGCTGGCATAATTGGATATTGGCATTCAGAAGATTGCAGATAGATCCATGTCTATCGCCTTGCACAAAACTTAAGTCCAAATGGATCAAAGACATAAATCCAACCACACTGAAACTCCTAGAAGAGAAAGTGGGAGATACTCTTCAAAGAGTTGGTATAGGAAACCACTTCCTGAACATAACACCAGTAGCACAGACACTGAGATCGACAATTAACAAATGGGACCTCCTGAAACTAAGAAGTTTCTGTAAGACAAAGGACACAGTCAACAAGACAAAAAGGCAGTCCACAGAGTGGGAAATATACTCACTAACCCCACATCTGACAGAGGGATGATCTCCAAAATTTACAAAGAACTCAAGAAGCAAGTCTCCAAAACACCAAAGGATGCAATTAAAAAGTGGGGTACAGAACTAAATAAAGAATTCTCAATAGGGGAGTCTAAAATGGCTGAGAGACACTTGAAAAAGTGCTCAACATCCTTAGCCATCAGGGAAATGCAAATCAAAACAACTCTGAGATACCATCTTACTCCTGTCAGAGTGGCTAAAATCAAAAACACCAAAGACAATTTATGCTGGAGAGGATGTGGAGAGAGAGGAACACTCCTCCACTGCTGGTGGGAGTGCCAACTCGTACACCCACTTTGGAAATCAGTATGGAGAATCCTTAAGTTGCTTCTTGTAAGCACTTGGTCACAGCAGCAAGGAAAAGTTGCTAGCACTGATAGATGGATGGATTAACTAACTCAGTTGTGCTAACCCTTTCACAACACAGATATCTGTCAGCACCAGGCCGCACAGCCTAAGTGACCACTAGACTTCATTGATACTTAAAGACTTGTTAAGCAATGGGTGGTATTAAAAGCTTGCACTGCCTCTAGTATGTGTGTATATAGTCATTTATACACTACTTGTGTATGTTTCCATTCCATTGGCCATGGCAAGTGACGTAGAGATGACTTAGAGTACATGAGAGATTTGAGTTTGCACTTCCCTGGTGGCCAAAGATGTTTGGTTGGGGATGTCCTTCTGTATATATGTTTCTCTTATTGGTTGATCAATAAAACACTGATTGGCCAACAGCCAGACAGGAAGTATAGGCGAGGCTAGGAGACAAGGAAAATTCTGGGGAGAAGAGGTGAAAAGATGCCTCCAGGAAGAGATGCCATATAGATACCTCTAAGACAGGATACACCAGGCATTATCTGGTAAGATAAGGCCATGTAGAAATACATAGATTGGTAGTTATGGGATAATAATTACAAGAGAGCTAGCCAGTAAGAAGCCCTAGTCATCAGCCAATAATTTTATAATTAATATAGCATCCATGTGTTTATTTGGGGCAAAGTGATTGTGGAATCAGGTGGGACAGAAACTTCCATCTTCAGATGTTGGTCTTTTTTCATGTAATTATTGGCAACATTTGTTCTTTTTAAGCTCTTTATATATTCTGGATACTAATCCTCTGTCAAATGAATAGCTTGCAGACATCTCCATTCTACATTTAAAATGGCAGTCAGCTGGGCAATGGGGGCACACACCTTTAAAAATGTTTTTATTTATTTTACGTATATGGCGTTCTAGCTAGACATAGAACCTACATGCCAGAAGAGTAGACCATTAGATCTCATTACAGACGGTTGTGAGCCACTATGTGGTTCCTGGGAACTGAACTCAGAACCTCTGGAAGGGCTGACAATGTTCTTAACCACTGAGCCATCTCTCCAACTCTAGTAGTGTACGTCTTTAATCCAAATACTCAGGAGGCAGAGGCAGGCAAATCTCTGTGAGTTTGAGGCCAGCCTGGTCTACAGAGTGGTTCCAGGACAGCTAGGTCTGTTACACAGAGAAACCCTGTCTCAAACACCCCCAAAAAAGAAAATGGCAATCATGAAAGAAAAATAAAATCCTGGAGAGGGCAAAAGGGAAGCAATTCTTAGATCCTGTTTCTGAGAATATAAATTAGTGTAGCCACCATGAAGATATACATGGTGTTCTTCAAACAATTATTAATAGACCTGCTACAACATAGCTGTCCTAGTCCCTGGCATACAGTAAAGGAAGATAAATCAGCATGTGTTATGGCCACCTCCGTATCTGTAACCATCACAGTACTTCTCACAGCAGCCAAGTCATAAAGACATCCCTAGTGTCCACCATCGTACGAATGGATGAAGAACACATGGACTAGTCAGCTGTGGGGACTCATTCTGGTAATGGCAACACTCAGGAGGCCGAGGCAGGAGTCCTGCCACAAGTTCAAGGCAACTTGGATTACTCAGTGAGTTACAGGGTAGCCTGGGCTACCAAGTGATACCTCGTGTCAGAAACCAAATGTAAGAAAGTGGAATATATAGACAATGAAGTTTTGTTCAGTCATGAAAAACAACACCATTTTTATTTGAAGGAGAATAAGCAGAAATAGGGATTGTCTTGTTAGATGAAATAAGCCTGGGTTTGGGAAAACAAAGATGTTTTCTCTCATACATGGAATCTTAAGAAGAAAATAAAAATGACACAAATATTAAAAGAGGATTATTGGGGAAGCAAAAAGGGATTGGGGGAAAATGTAAGAAAGTAATGGGGGTGAACATGACCAAACTGTTTGCCAAATGAAAATGTTACAACAAAATCTACTATCTTGCACAATCAATATTACATATATTATTAGGGTGGTGTGCAGAGGTTACACACAAGCAGTATAATACTATATATGAGAGAATTGGGGGTACAAATATTTTGGCCTTCCCAGGGGTTACAGAACCATAGACCACAAGGAATGACTATACTTACAACTTGTCTAGATTACTTGTAATTCCTAATACAGTGTAAATGCTGTGTATGTTGTTCTTGAAAATATTGTTTAGAAACAACTAGAAAGGGTAGCCCACACCAGTAAAGATGAAAATAGTTCTGAATATTTTTGCCATGCAATTAGTTAGCCTCACAGATGCAGAACTCCTAGGAAAGGTGAACTAAACGCACAAATGCACCCTTTTACCACATGCCTTCTGATGCCGTGCCTTCTGATGGTGTTTGGCTACATACACAAAGCCAGTATTGCTCTAATGGAGCTCAGGGAACAGCCGAGGTCAGACTCTGGGTGGGTTCACCCTCATTTTTGTCGCCTCGGGTTTTAGAGTGCTAATCCAAGTTCTGTGACAGCTGTGGCACTTTCTTGGGCTTCACGCAGCACAACTTGCCATTCCCGCACAAGATGTAGAGCTTCTCGTCCTTGATGCATTCATAGCGGCAGGTACCTTGAGATTTCCAGCACTTTTCGCCGTTCCCTATTCCAGAGCACAAACAAGGACACCTGTATCAGACACAGGGTTCCAGGCAGAGACCAGAGGGCCAGCCAATAAAACGGAGGCTGTGGAAGGAGCGGGTACCTCCAGGAGTTTAAGGAGGTCATATAACCTCACATCCTCTATGGACACTCCATCCCGATCTCAGCCTTTATAAATGCTCCCTCTTGGAAATGCAGTGGGTTACAAGGGTTAACTACACAGTAGGTTATGAGGCTACCAACATGAACATCGGAATCTGTACTTTGGAATTGAAATCTACCTGTCTCCGAGCCAGCTGGTAGACCCTGAGATGGTAACTTCCATCTTAAGAATCTGTTTCCTCTTTTCTACAAGGATATATAGATGTCTCAGGGATCTGTGGCTATTCGAAGTGTAGAGGGTGTGGCTCAGCTGGTACTTGCCTAGCATGTTTCAGGTCTGGGTTCCAGCCCTAGCATAGCATAGACTAGGCATGATAGATAGCCACATCTGTAATCTCAGCACTCAAAAGTTAGGGGCAGGAGGATGAGGAGTTCAAAGACAGCTTCAGCAACACCCAGTGAGTTCAAGACCAGCTTCAGCTACATGACACTGTCTCAAAAGAAATAAAAGTAAAATGTAAAATAAAACTAATTATTAATTAATTTGTGTAAAAACCATTAGTATTAAATAAATCCATCCACGAAATGACAGGACCACAGCAAAGATTGAGTAATTTGTGTCATTTTACAAGGGAAAAAAACTGAACTAGAAAGAACACATTAGCCAGTAATGAAAGCTCATGGCTTAAAAGAAATGAAAAATGCAAAATGGGAAGGATATTTAAATAGAGAAAAGAAGACCCACATCTGGTGAAAATGTAGAGAGTTAATGGCCATAAGTCTGGCCCAGTTACTTTATCTACAGTACAACTCATCCACCTAAGACTCAGGGGCTACCACAGAGAAGAAGCAGAAGGGAGGTCAAGGACTAAGATACCAGCTGACGCTGTCTTCTGGACATGACCAGATGCTATGCCCATGAAACCCTAACAATATGGTTACATAAGCAAGACCTGCGTGACCACACCAGTAGATATGACAGTGTGGATGGGCAAAATCTCACCAGGTCCCATCCCCTAGACGAATAGCTACAGTCAATCAATGGTTGCTGGGCAGGGGGAGAGTCAGTTTTCTCCAGCGATGAGCTCCCTGATGGTCAGCCCTAAACACACATACATATGAGCAGCACTGTATGAACGACTGAATCCAGTCGAATATATACACATATATGAAGAGGTCATAAAGTCAAGAGTGGAATGTTGGGAACACAGCAGGAGTTGAAATGAGGAAAAAAGAGGTAGTAATTATATGAAGTACTTATGCTTGAAATTCTCAAAAAACATAAAATATTTTAATACAAAAGAAAGGAAGAATGAATCCTAACCACTAGGGTGCCAGAGATGCTAAAAAGGGAATGAAATAAGAAGAATCAATGGAAAGTGTCAGTCATTGATAAGAAATTCAGCATACCCAAACTAAAAGGCAGTAAGTAAAACAAAGAAAGAATCACAGCAAACTATGTTCAATAACATTTCCTGCAATAGAAAAATACTTGAAATATGTACCAAAGGGCATAGAGTGTGCCGGAGAGAGCTGAACCAAAACGGGGTGACTGTAGCAATGTTACTGGACATTACACAAAAAGAAAACAAATGTTTTGGGCAATCAGGTTGGTATGTGTGTGTGTGTGTGTGTGTGTGTTCCTGAAATGAGGAAGTGGAGTATAGTCCATCATTCCCAGCAGGCCAGGTGTGTGACTCAGTGGCAGCATGCTTCCTAAAACCCACAAGGCCTTGGGTTCCATCCCTACCACTGCAAAATGAAAAATAAATAAAGGAATATAGAGGTAAGTTGTGAATTTGAATGGGAAGTACCAGTAGGAATTCGTGACTGTTTTTAATAGATCCCCCCTCCCATTTCTGGCCACTGCAAAGCTTAGAGACATTGAGCAGCCAGCAGAAATTAGTATCCAATTCGTGGAAACTGGAAGCGTGGCAACTATTTTTGGTCAAGAAATTACAAAACAAGCCTGAGGCATCCTATCACACCAGAGACTGAGGAAGGTATTGAAGACAAGCAAGGCTCTATCAGAAAGATCGACACCTCAGGTCAAAGATCCTCCCACTGCCTAAGACTAAGGACTTCTACTGCAATAGAGAGGATGGTAGCAACAGATTTAACATATGGCTTAGAACCATTAGTCTTGTTGTGCCTAAGTTACAAAGTCCCCAGAGACCACCAGGAATACAGACCCACTAAACTGCAAAAGCGAGGTTTTAATTGTTCATCCACCTATAACAGGGACCCCCGTTGGCTAGCTGGCACAGCAACCTCCAGAGGGAGTGAAGTTCGCTGTCTACTACTAGGTTTTAAAGACAAAAGTTACAGGATTACATCAGTAGGTACAGGTTGGTTTCTGATTGGTTGACATTTGGGAACAATTAGGACAATTTCTCAAAGTCATATTTTGGCATGAAATACCTTTGTACCAATTATTTTCATTAGTCAGTGCTAAGAGGGAACATTCTGTGGTTTCTATGGCATTGTCTGGTTACTTGCAGGTGGCCTGTTGTACATAGATACCAGTAGTTTTCAGAATTATATGCTGGAGACTATAGGGGAGGTTTTGGTCCCCCCACCCCCGAGTTTCTTTTGTGGCCAAAGAGTTCCCAGGAACCAAGTATCTAGGAGGCTGGGGTGGTGTCTGAAGTTTCTTTGTGTTCAGTTTTGGCCCTAGACTCCAGGAGGCCAGAGGATATGGAGTTTCCTAGTGTCAGAGGCCTGTGGGTCTTTTCTGTAGCCTCTCATGGCTGCTAAAGCAGGGGGCTGGGTGGGGGTCTGGTCCCTTTATTTTGTTTACCCCTTTCAAGTCTAATATCTGTGAGTTTGAGGCCAGCCTGGTCTACAAAGTGAATCCCAGGACAGTCAAGGCTGTTACACAACAGAACAAAACAAAACAAAAACCCTTGTCTTAGATAGATAGATAGACAGACAGACAGACAGACATCACAGAATAGAGTAAGTTCCTGGGAACTCTGGAATGAATTAAGAAAGCAAAGAAGCTGCCTTCATTGTACACCAAAATTTCAGTGTGCTCAGTCTTGACCTTTCAATCAAATTTATTACATAAAAATTAAAAAATTGAAACACAGATGAGTGAGTTGGCTTGTAGGTTCTAACCCCAAGTTCTAAGGCCCTTCCCACTGCCCCAGACAGTGTCTCATATCCATCCGGCCATCCACCCAGGCCCTAAGTACCCTGGCCAGACCCACTCTCCAGCTCTGTCCCTCTGAAAGGGTCTAGGTTACCTGGAATGACCTGGGATAGCAGCAGCAGCAAAGCCATAGCTAACACTGCAGTCTTCATGGCTTCAGGAATCACAGGGTCTTAACTGTGTCTGGCAAAGTACCGGGCAATGGGAGAAGGCTCTGGATCCCTGCTCCTTGTAACCAGCTGGGACACGTGTCTTCAGAGGCCCACGCATACAGTCTGCCCTGAGCCAGCTGCCTTCCACATCCCAAGGCCTCCACGCCCACAGCACTGGCCACACAGTCCTATGCTGACACTCCCTTTATCCTCTCAAAGACCAGCAAGACTAAATCCTCCAAAAGTCAGGGTATAAGTATATGTCAGTCTCTGTCAATTCCGCCCAGAACCCTCTACTCTGGAGGGAAAGGAACTTATGAGCCCCCACCGCTGGTTGAGAAGCTATTCTCAGTTGATGACTGCGGGGGGGGGGAATGCTTTTTAGGATGTGGCTCTTGGTAAATTGACTATGCTCCAGTAAACGGCCACATATCCATGAGTCTGTGGGCAGCACAAATGTGACTGGTTGGCTTTTTTTTTTTAAAGGATGGGGCTGGAGAGATGGCTCAGTGGTCAAGAGCACTAGCTGCTCTTCCAGAGGACCCACTTGGGTGCCCAGAATCCATGTGACGGTTCACAAGCGCCTACTTGCAGAGCATCCTACGCCTTCTTTGGCCTCTGAGGGCACTGCATGAGCATGATATACAGACAGACAGACAGACAGACATGCAACCAAAACACCCACACACATACAATAATAATACTGGTTTTTAAAGAGAGGAGGACATGGAGTGGAGAGGATAGTGGGAGATGGGAAATGGAGCTAAAAGAAATGAGAGGAAGGAGAGGAGTGGATGTGATCCAATACATCATATGCATGTATAAAATTGTCAAGTAATTAACTAAAATTTCTTAGTTAAATGTTAATAAACTTGCCGGGCGGTGGTGGCGCACGCCTTTAATCCCAGCACTCGGGAGGCAGAGACAGGCGGATCTCTGTGAGTTCGAGGCTGGGCTGGACCGACAGCCTCCAAAACAATACAGAGAAACCCTGTCTCATAAAAATCAAAAAAAAAAGAAATGTTAATAAACTTAAAAATCCTGGACAACCCACAATTCTTATCATATCCTACAAAGTCCTACATTGATAACTCTTCCAGTAAAGCGCTTGCCACACATGTATGAGGTCCCAAGTATGATCACCAGAATCTACATAAAAGAGGCAGAAGCAGTGATGGGGGCTGGTGCTTAATCCCAGCACTCAGGAGGCAGAGGCAGGCAGATCTCTGTGAGTTTGAGGCCAGCCTAGTTTACGTAGAGAGTTCTAGGATAGCCAAAGCTTCCTAATGACATAGCCGTCTCAACAAAATATATTTTAAAATGGCACAGTGATACACACTTACAACCCTTGTGCTGGGGAAATGGAGGCAGGCACTCTGGAGCCCTAGTGTTCACTGGCCAGCCTGACTCAAAACTCACAGTGCTCTCGAGAAATTACAACCAAGCTTGACCACTAGCGTCTACACACACAATCGCACAAATCCAAACACTTGTAAACACACACACACACACACACACACACTTTTAGGTACTACATCGTCTAGTGTAGCAATCCACAGCTGTCATAATTCTAACATAACTTAGATGAGCTGGTTTAGAAAAATTAAGAGATGTTAACTGATCATTTAATCCCTTTAATCCCCAGACTTGGGAGGCAGAGGCAGGCGGATCTGTGAGTTTGAGGTCAGCCTGATCTACAAAGCAAGTTCCAAAACAGCCAGGGCTACACAAAGAGACCTTGTCTCAAAACAAGCAAACAAACAAAAAAGTTGTTTTACTTTTAATTATAAACATATGTATTCCTGTGTGTGGGTATGTGCACATGAATGCAGTTGCCCTAGGGAGCATTAGATCCCCTGAAGCTGGAGCTACAGGCAGATGTGAGGCACCACGTGGGCGCTAGGCACTGAACTCAGGTCTTCTGGAAGAACAGAGTATGCTCTTAACCACTGAGCTGACTCCAGTCCCAGAGAGGTTCCTTTCTCCAGATGTACTTCCCCACTTCGGGAGCTAAGGAAGAGAGGACATTCTCCACACTTTCAGCAGTGTGTGTCTATCAGGATATTCTTTTTTTTTTTTTAATGAAACAGGGTTTCTCCGTGTAGCTTTGGAATCTGTCCTGGAATTCACTCTGTAGACCAAGCTGGCCTCAAACCCACAGAGATTGACCAGCCTCTGCCTCTGAGTGTTGGGATTAAAGACATGTGCCATCACATGTGGCAAGATATTCTTTATCAAAGAAAAGGGTTCCCACCGCCTAAAATGCCCAGTTTTCAGAAGAACTTTGGCATTGAAGCCAAGAAAGGTAGAGTTGAAATTATCCAGCTCGCTCTCCCAAATGTGCCACTTAGTTGTGTGACCTTAGAACAAATCACATTCTCTCTCTAGGATTCAGTCTCATCGTTATCAAGTTAGAGTCCAGAGGCTGTAAACTCAACCCAACCTTTGGGACTCTGGCTTCTTGGACACTAAAAAAAACACAGAAAATGAAAGGCTATTGTAACAAGTATTCTTCCCTCCAGCTGCCTGGGTTCCACCACTATCTCTGCCCCCAAATAACACACGAGACACTACATTAATTATGAAGCTATTGGCCATTTGCTATGATTTCTTATCGGCTACCTCTGTCTTAATTATTACTCTATAACTCTAATATATATTTTTCAAGGTCTTATCTTACCTAGAATGCCCATCTCTGCATGCTGTTTTGTTGACCACCACTACTTATCTTTCTGACCCAACAGAAGTCACCAGGGTGGGGGAGTATTAGTCTCTTCTGACACTAACCCTTTCCTAACCAACATTCTCTCTTCTAGGACCTGGGTCCCTTAAATCCTCCAGGGAATACACTATAAGACTCTCATCTTCTCTAAGTCCTACCATTCCTGTTGGGTAGGCTTGACAGATGCTTGGATATTCTTATGTTCTTTTACAAGGTTTTTCTTTATCCTACAAAAGCCTGAGAACTACAGAATGTTCCCATCCAGCAAGCTCTGAGTCATGAAATGGCTTCCAATGACCTTGGACAGTCAACTATCTCATGAGAAAGGACAGGAGGAAAGCACAGAGCTAAACATCTTTATCCATTAATCCTGAGATTACAGCTTGCAAAACAAGCAGCATCAACTCCCCTGAAAAGGCAGAGGAGATAGCAAGTGGTTACATTCTCCTGCAGGACCAAGAGAAGAAAAAGATTCCAGTGGTGTTGAGTGCAGGGAGGGCCGGCTGAGCCCAGAGCTCTTAGCCTCCTTATACAGTGCATGGATTTGTGCAGATGAATGAGCTGCCACTGCCTGCTGCACCGTGCATCAGGAATGGGGATGGATGAGAAGCAGGATAGTCTCCCCTTTCAGCAAGAAACAGGGGACATTATAAGAGAGAGAACACTTGACCTTAATGCATCACCTTTTGACACTTTCAAATTTTAAGTTGTCTAATAGTCTTTATTTCACAATAAAACCAGGTTGTACTTACTTTCACTTCCTGTGGATTTTGAATCAGTTAATCATATGAGGGTCTTTTTTCTCCATAACTGCTAATTTAATGACAGAAAACAATTACCCCCTTGTCATTTGAATTTGTTTTCTTTGATTCCTGATCAGGTTGAAAGTGGCCTTTCTTACTGTCCGTGAACAGCCATGATATCTGGGGTGTGCCTGGAGGTGTGGACAAAGCCTCTTCCTCTTCCGACTCACCAGGTCACTTGACCCTAGTAAGTGAGACAACCCTCGTTCCTGGGACGACTTTTTAAAGCATCAGAACCAAGCACAGTAGCACATGAGTGTGAAAGGAGTGGGGCCAGGAGTGTGGCTTTTCTGTTTGTTTCATTGGTTGGTTTTGGTTTTCAAGGCAGGGTTTCACTGTGTAGCCTTGGTTATCCTGGAACTCACTCCGTCTTAAACTCAGTGAGATCCGCCTGCCTCTGCCTCCCAAGTGCTGGGATTAAAGGTGTTCTTGGAAATGTGGCTTTCAATGTGACACCATGTATTTGGGAGCTGGGGGTCAAATGGAAGCTCCATGGTCTAGGGTTTTCAGAGACTGGGTAGCTGACCCCAAGAATTCATGGATGAAAATGCAATCACCCTGCCCTGCTAGGGTGCTGAAATCCTTGTGTTACTGCATCCATTTACTTCTGTAAATTACTTTTTCACACCTAGAGAACCGAATACATTGATGGGTAGATGGACCCCATGGCTCATCTGCTCCAAATCCTTGATGAAACATATTGAAACCCAGAAAAAATGGTAAATTTTCTGGGTATGTGATGTGGCAGGGGACAAAGAACTTGCCTGATGTGCATGAAGTCCTGGGTTTAGCATTGAAAAAAAGTATGAAATCACATAAGAACTGAAGAGATGGTTCAGTAGTTGAGTATGCATACTGCTGTTGCTAGGGAACTGAGTTCAGTTCACAGTACCCATGTGGAGGATAAAGACGGTACAACTATGCCCAACTCCAGCTCCAAGGGATCTGATGCACTCTTCAGGCCTCCAACTATACCTGCACTCACATGCACACGCACACACATACACTCATCCATAATTAAAAATAAAAATAGGGGTATGGAGGGATGGCTCAAGTGTTAAGAACAATGGCTACTCTTCCAGAGGACCCAGGTTCAATTCCCAGCACCCACATGACAGCTCACAACTCTCTGTAGCTCCAGTTCCAGGAGATCTGACACCCTCACACAAACATACATGCAGGCAAAACACCAGTCGATGCTCATAAAATTAAATAAATAAAAATAAGAGCTGAGGACATGGCTCAGTTACTTGAATGGTTACCTAGCACATACAAGGTCATGGGTTCAATCCCCAGTCAACCCTTTATAAAGGCAGCCATTATAGCACATGCCTCTCATCCCAGCACCCAGGAGATAGGAGCAGGAGGACCAGAACGCAGGGTCACCTTCAGTTACATAGAGAGATCAAGGCCAGCCTTGGGTACATGACACCATGTCTCCAAATAACAGGTAAGGGGAGCTGAGAGAGGGTGATGGGGAGTAAATAAGATCAAGAGACATGAACTTTTCAAAGAATAAGTTTTAAAATACTTTCCAAAATTAAGAATAAGTTTATAGAAGGGAAAGTTAGTACTAGTCACTGAATACTTTGGGCTCGTATCCTCAATGCAAAACTACTTCACACTCCCAGGCATAGTGAGCATGAAAGAACTCTCAGAAAGAAAACAATCCAATAAACACATTCTCCCTAAGAAGACACTCATGGGCCACACTCAAACATTCTACTTTGTGATATTTTGTAGCATTCACTGTCAGGTACCAGCCCTGTCTGGAATGAAAATTCTACTTCTCAGTTTCCTTCCCTCTATGAACTTAAATGGGAGTTTGCAGCCAACTTTTAAAACTTGAATGCTCTCTGGAGACAGCAGCCATCAGTAATGGGAGCCATTGTGCTCTGAAAGTTGTCCCCAGTGAGAGATGGTAGGGACAAGCAGCAGATTAGGCAAGTCTTCACTGTTCCCTTCCCCACTTCCGGTCCTGATGACCAAAGTAACCCCAGAAGCCGGGCTCACTAACAACACTTTCTCTGTGGCTGCTGCAAACAGACATCAGTAGCAGGCCAGTCAAGAATCTTCCCAGAGTCCTGCACCTTCCTATTGCAGCCCTGGAGCAGCTTCAAGTCTTGGCCCATCATCCCCTATAGTTAACTAATACCCTCTGTTCCTTGTCAAGTCTTTGTTTTTCCAGATCCTCGAACGATTAAGTTGAGACTAACTTTACCATAGATTCCTTACTCCATGATGCTGATAATGGCTCTCCTCTGGTTGAAACTTCACAGGAAGTAAGAGGCAGCAGACCACTATAGTAGAGTTGAGGGCTAGTCACTGGGTCCTGTCCCAGACCTTCCCTTATTCTCTTCCTTGTAAAAAGTTCCTGAAGGAATTATTTAACACCACACACTTTCATTTACCTTTGTGTAAATCTTGGGCAGCCCATTCAACGCTTTCTGTCCCCACTGATGATTCAGACAATGTCTTATCGTGTAAGGTCATGCATGCTTTGATTTTCTTGACCTCTGTATCAAGAGAGTCCAGTCAGGAAGTAGAATTCACATAAGTAATTGAGGCAGATAGTTAATGGAGGGAATTGCTTACTTCTGCTGGAAGGTTGAAAAATGAGGATCCTGGAGAAAGTATTACTAACTTCAGGGACAGCCACCTGGCTTCAGGTAAATGAACTAAGGAAACTAGAATGAATGTTCAGACCAGGGAGCAGGGAACATCTGTTCTTGAATCCCTGAAGAACGGGCTGAGCCTTGAGTCTGGGACAACCCTGTGGTTGCTCCTCTTGTATCTATCCACTCTTGAACAGACCTTGCCCTGTCTGGAACCCATTTTCTCTTCTCTGCCAGTGTCTTTGGTAGCTACTGATGTGCGTGCTCTCTGGCATCCATGTGCATGGCGCCCCCTTTTGGCGCCTTGATAAGGCGATGCAAAGCTGGCAGGGGAAGGGCTGTGCTGTGTGGCCTTGAACCTTGGCTGGCCTCACCCTGCTGATCCAAAAGACAAAGGAATGCTGTGGACTGGGTGGGTGTGGCTCCACACTGTAGACCCAGGATACAGGCTTGTTCCCGTGAGCTGCTCCTGGAGATCCAAGGGACTTCCGCCAGAGGGACTTGACTTCCGAAGCTGTCCACTAACTTTGCCAGCACTTTGAACTCGAAGCTTTGCCACCATGAAGCTCCTGCTGCTTACCTTGGCTGCATTGCTGCTCTTGTCCCAGCTCACTCCAGGTAACAGAGAGCTCCTCAGGGAAGGCACTGGGTAGGGGGACCCTGGCCTTGTCAGTGAACCTACCGGGGCAAGGAGGACCAGTTAGTTGCCTAGGGCTGGAGATGTCACCATTCCACCTTGCCAAGTGCCGGATCTTAGGTACCAACAACAATATCCTGAGTATCATCACCCACTCCATGTTCAGCTCTACCAAGCTGGCAAAGGGTCAGTGTGGGGGCAGAAGCAGCCAGAGAGAAAGCAACAGCAGATCTCTTGCAAAATAGTCCCCAAAATGTTCCAGGTTTAGTAAAAGCCACAGCCACCTTAATGGGAGCAAGAAGCTCATGTTTGCAGCCCCTCTCTCTGTGCCATACTTTGTGCTGGAACTAGGATTATGGGGGCAAATGGCATGGCCTCGGACACAGTTAAATAGCATTATACCCAAAGCCGTGACAAAGGAAAGCCAGGGAGTAGCACCTAGCTAGCCTGAGGTCAGTAGAGTCCTGGAAAGTGACTTGAAATCAGATGGGGGAGGGGAAGAGGTGGGGAGGGAAGGATTTAGGATAAGCATGATAAGCATAAGTAAGGAGGGAGAGAGCAGCATGCTGCCTGTGGGAACCCAGTCTGAAGTGCAGGGGTGAGTGATGAGAGTCACAGGTAAGAAAGCCATGGGAGGGCTTTGCCAGAGAAGGTCAACCCTGTCCTTCCTACCTGTCACACCAGCTACCTGCCCCCTCCACTCATCTAACAGAGCTTCTGTCTACCTCAAGACTGTCAACCTTTAAAGAATCAGAACATACAATTTTCTAAGCAAGCTGACCCCTCAGTTCCCTCCAGTGACCCTGAAACACCCTGCATCTAAGCGGCTCACCATTGACTCTGATCCCAACAACCCTCAGCCCTCACCACTGTTTAGAGGATCAGATCGCTTGACGGTTTCTTTAACGGCTGTGACAACATGGGGGGGGGAATCACTGCAGGTGTAAAACACTAACATCTGGGCCTGCAACTCAGTTGCTGGAGTGCTTGCCTGGCATGTAGAAAGCCCTGGGTTTGATTCCCAGCAACACATAAACTGAGTGCGGTGACACAGGATTGTAATTCCTGAGAGGCAGAGGCGGAAGGATCAGAAATTCAAGGGCTACTTAGTAAGCTTGAGGCCAGCCTGGGATAATTGAGGCCCTGTCTGAAAGAGGGAGGTGGGCAGTTAGCTTCTTTTTGTCTGTAATTCATCTGCACTTTCCCAGAAACTTCCACTCTGGGAGAGGTGGGGACCTTGCTTTCTCCTGGAAGACATGAAGTTAAAACTGTAAGCATGGCATGCGGGTGTTGAGTTCGGTGATGCCCAGGAAATGGATCTCTGTGACCCTGAGGGAACTTAAGATGGTGTTGACAGGAGCGCTTGGCACCTAGCCCTCACTCTGAGACCTCACACTGTCCCTTGCTGCTTCTGCTCTGGGCTTGGTCTTTACAGCTCTCTCCATGCCTCCCTTTCCCTGTCTCCACACAAGAGAGTGTGGGGCTTCCTGGAAGGACGCTACAGGAGAGCAGAGAGAGAAGCCACTTCCCTCTGCTGTTCCTCACCCCTGAGAGTTTGATAGGGTGTGAAAGCTAAGCTTTTCCCTGAAGACCTAGCAACTGCCTGGGGTGATAGGGGCTGAGGTGCCCTGCTCCAGGCCCACCAGGCCCTCTCTCCCTACAGCGTTACGTTTACTGCCCCCACCTCCAAATCGTCCTCCCTTTAGCCAGCAGGCCTCTTGAAGCAGAGCAGTAGAAAGCTGTGTCCCTGGGAACAGTGAAGACTTGCCTAAACTGGCCAGCAGGGATGATGGTGTTTCTCAGGCAGCCTCCTGCTGCTGCTGCTGCTGCTGCTGCTGCAAGTGCATTTCAACTCCTCAGTTACCAGGAGGTTATTAGAAGAGTTTCTCTTCCACTTCCTGTTATGAGTTGTAATGGTGAGAGGCCTTGAGTGGAAGCCATCAATACTGGTCGCCCTCAGCCTTCATCTCCTATAGCTTACAGAGAGGTGGCTTCATTGAGACTCACCAGGCTTTACCTAGTCCTTTTGTTGGTAAATTTTGGTTCTTGAAATTATGGCCTTGCTATGACTAGAAACAACTCTTATCTCATTTAAGCTGCCAACTGTCATCCTAACTGTTGTTCACCAGTGCCCAAAGGACAGAAATTCTACTTAGTTCCACTTTTTTAACAGTCAAAGGGTCTCATGATGAAAGGGGGCCGAAATGTACATCACTTAAAAATGTTAGACAGTGAAATGACTCATGGGGTCAAGGCCCTTGCTGCCAAGACCCTCATGGTGAGAGTTGTCCTTGACTTGTACAAGAAATAAACAAATGAATAAATGTAATTTTTAAATGCTTAAGGGCTAGAGGGATGTTTCCGTGGGTAAGAACTCGTCCTGTGCAAGCAAGAAGACCTAAGTTTGAACCCCCAGCTCTCATAAAGAGTCAGACAGAGCTGCATATAACCCCAGGGTTAGGAGGTGGAGACAGACAGATCCTGGAAATCACTAGCCAGCCAGGCAAGCCAAAATGGTGACTTTCCAACTCAGAAAGATCCCATCTCAATGTAGCAAGGCAGAAAGTGATAGAGAACATCCCACGTCCTCCTCTAGCCTCTGTGTCCATGAAACACACACACACACACACACACACACACACACACACACACATGCATGCATGCACGCACACGGGCATGCATGGTTGTTCATTTTGACACGCTTAAATTAAAAACAGAGATCTCATGGCAGCTCACAGCCATCTGCTGGAAATCAACACCTCTTCTGGCCTCCTCAGGCACTGTACAAATGTGATACTTGCAAACAAAAACACTCATACACATAAAATAAAACTAGATAAATCTTTTAAAATGAGATCTCATTTTTAATGAGATTTTTCCTTATCTTTGTTGTAAAAATAAGGCAGAATCACAGATGCAAAAAACAAATATGCTGCTTAGCAAATATTGCCAAGTACAGGTTCTTGTAGAATCACATAGCTCAGCCAGCTGAGCACCAAACACTTCCCCCTAACCCACCACAGTTCCTTTCCTCCCCTAAGTGTCCAGACTTGTTTAGCAACTGATTTTTTTTTCATTTCTTCATGAAACACTCATTGCCAAGGTTACATCCCTAGACACATTTTTGTTTGCTTTTATTTTTGAGACAGAATCTCACTGTGTAGCCCTGGCTGACAGACATCATATTTTTAAATATGCCTTTTAATATTTCTCTGACCTTCATCCTCCATCTTTCCAAGTTCTCTGAAAACAACTGGCCACTGACCTGTATCCTCCCACGATGAGAATTTGCTGATGGCACATTAAGGTTGGAATTCACAGTGTTCCTATGATGTGTAGACCTGGCTGGCCTGGAATCTGGAATTCACTGTGTAGACCAGGCTGCCCTCAAACTCACAGAGACTCACCTGCCTCTGCTCCTGAGTGCTGCCACCATACTTGGCTACGCTCACTGAACTCAAATTGCCCCATCCTTGGTGAGGGAGGCTTCTTTTTGTTTGTTTTGTGTTTTTTGTTTTTAGAGACAGGGTTTCTCTGTGTTGTTTTGCAGACTGTCCTGGAACTCGCTCTGTAGACCAGGTTGGCCTCGAACTCACAGAGATCTGCCTGCCTCTGCCTCCTGAGTGCTGGGATTAAAGGTGTGTGTCACCAACACCCAGCTGAAGGGAGGCTTCTTGATTCATGGACTTGATTTTAAATATCCTGGTAGCTGTGATAGTCACCTTGTGTAATGTCCATCTGTCTTTAGAAGACTCCCCACATAGCCCTGCAAATCACACCATGTTAGACATGTTACCCTGCTGCAAAGGACACTGCATACCCAAGGGTCTGTGGGGTTGGCAACAGCTCACCCAATGAAGAATGTACTCAACCTGTGGGTCCTGACTCATGACAGTAGCAAAAGTACAGTTATGAAGTAGCAATGAAATAACTTTGTGACTGAGAGTCCTCATGGCATGAGGAACTGTAACTAAAGGGACTGCGTTAAAGCATTAGGGAGGTTGGGAGCTACTGAATCTAGAGGAAGAGTGGGATTTAAACAGTTCAAGGTCAGCTCTCTCTGTCTCTCTCTCACTCTCTCTGACACACACACACACTCTCTCTCTCTCTCTCTCTCTCTCTCTCTCTCTCTCTCTCTCTCTCTCTCTCTCTCTCTCTCTGGAGAGTGGGAGAAGAGAGGGAAAACAGAGTGAGAATTTTGTATAAAACTTCTCATCTGATCCTTGGCACCTGATGGAGGTCAAAGCTGCTTTTCCTTTCAGGAAGTATGGGAAGGTCCATCCTTGTGGACAGAATTTCAGATACAAAGTGTCAGTCACTGGGATACCCCATTCCTTGGGGGAAGTATGAGATGTTCTGTCCTTGGGGGACAGAATTTCAGTTACAAAGTGTCAGTCACTGTCTTGATTTCAGAAAGCCACTGTTTCTCAGCATTCTGACTCTTTGTTGTTCATGAACAAAGGGGGTCTGGTGAGTTCGCCCCTGTGTGACAATAGGTTGTAGACTGCTCTTGTCCAGTTCCTGCATCTATCTTGAGTAAGCTCCAAGGTTGACAAGAGACTGTGCTTTCTTGGTCTGCCTTCTGATGCTAACCAGCCAATTCACAGAGCATATAGAAACCTTAAAACAGTGAGCATCCCGATTCCCTCCACCAGCCCATACACCTACACCGGCTGCCAACCCACAATGCATTGCTCTTGTGTTCCTTTAACTGACTATTATATGGTAGTTGCGTTTGCTGCACTGGGAATTGTATCCAGGACCTCATGTGCACTCAACAGTGTTGTCCCTCTGAACAACATCTCTATCCCTTACCAATTACCTTTTTTCTTTTTAACTTATTTTTTAGAAAACAAAACAATGGGTTTGTTCTGACATCTTCACATGTGTATATCTTGTACTTTTCTTGTATCCACCCACTGTGTGAACACTTCCTGAGGTGATGTAAACAAGTGTCTACTCATTCCAAGTGGAGCACCAGCAACACACCAACGTAATGATCCCACCCAAGCCTAGCTTAGGGTACCAAGCAGTTTACTGAGCTTGCATTATAGAAGCATGAGTGAGAGGTTACATACAAGAGCACAGGTGACCCCAAAACAGGTGCACTACCAATGCCTCGTGCCAGTATGGACAATGACATTCCTATAGCTGGATAGATGGAGCGCCTGCTTCAGTTAGCCTTCTTGCTCAACACTCCAGTGGTTCCTGAGACAACACACAGCTGGAAGAGTGTGCAGGAGGAAGTGAGAGTCTGGTTTCCTCCCCATCCCCTTCCTCTATGAGGGACCTTTAATAGGCCCAGCCTGGAGGACCTCCTGCAGATAGTCACAGCTGCTCTGATTAAGATGGTAATGGTAAGCTGGACAGATGGCTCAGTGGTTAAGAGCACTTGCCGCTCTCCCAAAGGACCTGGGTTGGGTTCCAGGCACCCACATGGTAGCCCTCAATCTTTTGTTACTCCAGTTTCAGGGAATCCTACGCCCTCTAAGATCTGGCCTCCTTGAGCACTGCACAGATATGGTTCATATACACACATTCAGGCAAAACTCTCATGCACATAGAATAAAAACAAATAAATCATATATATGGTGAAGGCATAGGTTCACAGTGATAACCACTCACACACCTGATTTTCAATAGCCAGTTCCCGGGAATGCCTGTGACTCAGTCTGCTTCTGCTGCCTGATAGATGGAATGCTATGGCTGGCAGGCCTGCCACATGCTGGTCCTTGCTGTGGGGCATGCGTCCATGACCTGAAGGAGAGATCCAGAAACACCCTCTACGGAAGAGGAGACTGGAAGGGTTTAGGATTCGACTCTTTTCAGCTCTGACACTACTGGCACAGTGAACCCCAAAGATTCTCATTTCCTCAGTAACCTCTGGGCTGAAGCCCTGGGGCCACCCCTGGAGCTCGACTTCCCAGAAGAGATTCCATGACACCACACCCACGCCCTTTCATTTTTTCCTTCATCCTTATGGTTGCCTCCCTGGAAGAAATCCCATGCCGTTCTGACTGCTTGTCTCAGAACACACAGGGATGCACAGACTGCTGCTGCATCTTTCCTATGAAATTGTAACATCGATACTGGAACAGGAGAGAGAAGGCATCTTTGTTGTCCCAGTTCAGCCAAACTATAACTAAATCTATTTTCCTCAGGGAAGAAAATAATAGTGATGGCTGCTATTCTCAGAGCACAGCATTCGACAGCACTCACATCCTCAGACTCCAGCGCCCCCCTTCCTCCCCTCTCATTCCTCACCCCTCCTGCTGGTCTCCCTCCTGTACCTCAAGTGATCACCTTCGGCTTCCACAGCGATATATGCATGTACCATGGCAGGCGTTGACATCAAAGGACAACTTTTGGGAGTCACATCAGGAAACTGAGGTTTCTGGCTACTTATGATCTTGTCACACTTGAGATTTTCTCGTCCTCTGGCACGTCAGCTGCTGACATGTTGATCTGGTATTATCGTTCCACAGTCTGCGAGGCTTTATTCTTTCTCCGTACTTCACTTTGAATAGTTTCTGTTTTGTGTCTCCAAGTTCACTTACCTTTTGAGGAAGATATTGTTAATTTTACATATGCATGTATTTATTTATTCAGTCTTGTATAACCCAGGCTGCCTAGGAACTCACTATGTAGCTGAGACTTGCCACCTAATCTTTCTGTCTCCATTCCCGGGAATTATACCTGTGGACTGCACTGGCTGGCTGAGTTTCTGTATTCATTCTTACCTTGTGTGTATTTTACATGCACATATATTTGGTGTCTGCAGAGACCTGAGAAGGCTGTTGAAATTGAAGTTACAGCTTGTCATGGGCTGCCATGTGGGTGCTGGGAACTGAACCTGGGTCCTCTGACAGAGCAGCAAGTACTCTAAACCTCAGGCCCCTACACACTATAGGTTTTATATAACCCTTCTGCTCTGTCGGGTGAGCACACAGAACATTCCCAGTTCTGAGGACAGTTCTGCCTCTCTCTCTTCGGTGATTCTTTCCCAGGCTTTGGTACATTCCTCATATGTGTGCTCAGATGAGTGTTCAAAGACAAGAGGGGTTCCCTCTGGAGACCTACACAGTGGTTTTTTTTTCTCCTCTTTTCTCTCTCTTCTCAGTCCTGCCTAAAGTTTTTAACACTGATTAAAATAGATGCTATTAGTCTATTTTAAATTCTTTATTAATTTTTTAGCTGTCCTACAAAGTAACGGGTCTCACTGATGCACTTTTGTGCATATATATCATATTTTATGTCTTTCCTCCCACTTTATGCCCTGCCTTCCCCTCTGCCCTTTGGCTGTCCCCTTCCCCTCCAGACAGTCCTTCCTTCTGCTTTCAAGTCTATATAGTCCATTACCCTCTCTTGTTCCCTGTCCCCATCTCTAGATATCTCTTTTCTTGGTCCCCTTTCTACCTTCATGGCATGCATATGATGATATGGGATGTCCTTCTGTATGCTGTGAATATGTGTTGCTTTTATTGGTTAATAAATAAAGTTGATTTGGCCAATGACCAAGCAGAATATAGCCAGGTGGGAAATCCAAACAAAGATGGAGAAAGAAAGAAGGCAGAGTCAGGAAGGTGCCATGTTGTTGCTGGAGGAGTCACATGCCAGGGCATTTCCTGTAAGCCACAGCCATGTGGTGATAGACAGATTAGTAAAAGTGAGTTCATTTATAAGAGAGTTAGCCAGTAATAAGCCTGAGCCATTGGCCAAACAACTATATTTAATATTAGCCTCTGAGTAAGTATCTCATAAATGGCTGCAGGAACCCTTGAGTGGGAGAGAAACAGGTCTAGGGGGACCAGCAGGACAGAGGAAAACAGTCAGCTACACATATGTACATGTATACATTTAAGTCTGTATTCCATACATGAAAGAGGCAATGTTTCTGAGTCTATAACATAATAATCTCCAGCTCCATCATTTTCCTGAAAATGTCATGATTTCATTCTTCTTACCACTAAATATAATCCCTTTTGCATATGGACCTCATTGGCCTTATTCATCTGTTGGTGGGCATCTAGACTGGTTCTATATCTCGGCTGTAGTGAATGTGCAGTAATAGGCACAGACGTGCAAGTATCTCTGATAGCACAGACTACTGGAAATGCCCTAAGTATATTCAGGAACATCTGGGCTCTATGGTCATGCCGGTTTCAGCCTGCTGAGGAGCCTCTATACTGATCTCCATAATGGCGTCCAGGTTTGCACTCCCACCGGCGGTGAGCAAGGGTTCCTCTTCCTCCCATCCTTACAGGCATTTGTTATCATTTCCTTCTCGGTGACAGATGGGACTGTTTCTCTCCTCTCATGCTCTAAGGGAACACCCAGAAAGGACAAGGCTAATGCTGAGGGTGTAGAAGATGGGACTCTGTGCCGCCTCCTCCAAGGCCTCCCTCTCTCTTCTCCATGTGTGGGCCTTAGTCAGACGTGTCCAAAGGAAACCTGTGATACAAACAGGCCTTAAAGACTTCATTCATCTGAGGGACACCAAGGCGTCTCTAAGCCGAAGTGGAACTGGCGCTTCATAGAGAAATGGATATGGGTTCATTGCTCTGTCTCAGGCGGCCTCTGATTGGACATCATTCTACGTGCTCCCCTTCTTTGCAGCCAGCTGTTTGGTGCAGCCACATCCTCTTGTGATGATCAGAACTGTTGCTTCTCTCTTGATTTGCTGTTTCTTTCTTGGTCTGAGGTTTTTTGGAGTTTTTTAGACAGAGTTTCATGTAACCCGAGCTGATTACAACAGACCTTTAAAAGCAGATTTTCAAAGTTCTATCATTTGTCATTTAGTCTAGATTCATGGTCAAGAAAAGGTAGGGAAAAAAATGGGGTCAGGAAAAACAACAGTAGGTGTTAGGAGGGGTCAAAGGGAAAGGTGGGAGGGGTCAAAGGGAAAGGTGGGAGGGGTCAAAGGGAAAGGTGGGAGGGGTCAAAGGGAAAGGTGGGAGGGGTCAAAGGGAAAGGGGAGAGCTGCTCAAACCTGCGCCAGCTCCTCCAGTCTGAAGTCACCTCTTCTTAGGACTGACACAATCTCCTTTCTCTCTTCTTTGTACCAGGTGATGCTCAGAAATGCTGGAACCTCAATGGCAAGTGCCGCCACCGATGCTCCAGGAAGGAGAGCGTCTATGTCTACTGTACAAACGGGAAGATGTGCTGCGTGAAACCCAAGTACCAGCCGAAGCCAAAGCCATGGCTGTTTTAAGTGCCCTGGGGCCTGGGGCCTGGAGGCTGCAGCTGGCAAAGTTGTCCTAGGTTGAGCTCATGGAGTCTTGAGCTCAGTCAATAAATGCACCTGGCTGACCCCTGTGTAGCCTGCTCATCCACACTAGCAATTGTCAGGCATAGGAGTCAAAACTATGATAACCACCGTCCTGATGGTAATATGACATCTCTGTCTCTCATGGGTGAATAGTGGGACTTTATTGAATCCACGGGGCATAGGATGAAACAACTGTTGGGCTGCTAACAGAAATGTGCTTACGTACATTTGTGTTTCTAGAATTGTTTAGGTATAATCATTTTCAGAGATTGACTGGATCAGTTCTCAGTAAGCCCGCTGCCCTCATACAAATGATCTTTGATATTATTAACCCCTGTACTCTCAAAATCATTATTTTTAAATCCTGAGACCTTCCTTGCATAAGATATAAGTGTTCTCTGTTGCCTCGATTTTCAGACATGTATTAACAAGCATATTCAGCTGCCTAATAGAAGAAACTGTGCCAGCCTCAAAGGGAAGATGTGTCTATACAGCATTTTAAATGCTGTCTTAGTTGGAGTTCCTGTTGCTGTGAGGAAACACCATGACCAAAAAGCAAGCTGGGGAGGAAAGGGTTAATTCTGCTTGTATTTCCACATCACAGTCCATCATCAAAGAAGTCAGGACAGAAAGTCAAACAGGACAGGAGCCCGGAGGCTGATGCAGAGGCCATGGAGGGGAGCTGCTCACTGGTCAAACAGGACAGGAGCCCGGAGGCAGGAGCTGATGCAGAGGCCATGGAGGGCAGCTGCTCACTGGTTTTCTCCCCATGGCTTGCTCTGCCCGCTGTCTTATAGAACCCCAGGGACGGCACCACTCATGATGTGCTGGGCTCTCCCCCACTGATCACTAACTGAGAAAGTCCCTTACAGACACCTTATGGGAGCATTTCTCAGCTCCTCCCAGATGACTCCAGCTGTGTCAGGCTGGCATAAAACTATTCAGCACAGATGCCATTTATAACACATTCCCAACCTAAAAATTTTAAGATGCAAAGATATAGCTCATTGGAAGAGTGTTTGTCTAACATAAGGCCCTGGGATCAATCCCCAGCACCATGTAAAAAAAATTATGTGTGTATGCATACATACATTTATAAGACAGGCACAAAGGAAGGAAACATTATCAGTAATAATAATAGTAATAATAATAATAATAATCAAAAGTCAATTCCAGGCACACTTTCTGGAAGTAGCAGACAGTTTCAAAGGAACTACCATAAGTACGTTTAGGAAATGAAAAACAGATTGATAACATGTGTGAAAGCATGGAGAATCTAAACTAAAGCATCAAATCAGGCGTATCTGTAATCAGTAGCTGGGAAGTGTTAGCAGGAGGGTCAGGAGTTCAAAGTCAGCTTCAGCTATTTAGTCAACGTAAGGCCAGTCTAGACTATACAGAAACCTATTTCAAAAACCAAACGGTTGAGAGTAGAGGCTTATGCCTGTAATCCCAGCACTTGGGAGGCTGAAGCGGGAGGGGCAGAATCACCAACAATTTGAGACCAGTCTGAGACAAGCCTGGGGTAGAGATTAAGACCTTTTCTTACTAATAATCATCATAATAATTAATAATAATCCAATACATTTTAAAGAGGCCACACTTCTGTCGCTACATTACAAACCTGACCTAGAATATAGTATAGCAGAATAGTCCTGTATGCTCTTACTCATAGTTGAACAGTTCTCCTGGTATTCCCACGTGAGTCTCCCAGTGAGTGCATTATCTTCCTTTCCTTCTCCCACAGTGCCTGGGCCCAAGAAGGTTTGCTCCAATATACAGCATTTATCAGACTTCTGCTGTGTTTGCTAAAGTCCTGCTGGTCACAGCAAAACAGATGACCCAAGATCACTGTGGCAAAGGACCACAGGACATGAATAGGGGGAGCTATGATTTGCTGGGGATCACCATGTGTTGATACATCATCCTCAAATGGAACCCCAAAGATAAATTTGGCTTTTTTTTTTGTTTTTTTGAGACAGGGTTTCTCTGTGACTTTGGAGGCTGTCCTGGAACTAGCTCTTGTAGACCAGGCTGGTCTCGAACTCACAGAGATCCACCTGCCTCTGCCTCCCGAGTGCTGGGATTAAAGGTGTGCACCACCAATGCCCGGCTGTAAATTTGACATTCTAAAGCACATTACAGTGTCTAAAAGAAAGGCCTGCAGCAGATATGTTTGAGAGCCCACTGGTGTACGACAGAAGAGTAAGTTACGGATCAACAGATGATACACAAATTTCGTACAGAGAGCTCGGGAGTGAAAGCAAATGCAACCAAGCAATTGTGTATTTAAAACCCAACCCAAGCTTATCACAGTGAAACACAAGGTGGACAGCTCCTGAGGAATGACACCTGAGAGTGACCTCTGACCTCCACAGGCACATACACGTTCATGCACCTGCACACATGTGTGCTCACACACACACACACACAGAGAGAGAGAGAGAAAATGAAGAAGTAGCCATCGATTCCCACGTGCTGTGCAGCTTGGTCCCGGAACTCTGACTAGGGGTGTGAAGGGAGTGAAGAAACAGCAGATACGGCAAGGCTGGGGTCAAGGGAGCTGTGTGCTCTCACGGAGCTGCAACTGCTACCGTCGTGTCTGGTCTGTGCACAGGGGGAGGGGCTCACTCGTCTCAGAGAAGGCCTCTCTGGCCATCAGTCTCCGGCTACAAACACCCAGCAGAAGGAAGCTGCAGTTGCTAGTTTTTGCACACACTGATCAATTATAGACACTTGTACTTGGACCAGAGGAAGAAAAGTTCCCCAATTGTGAGCCTCGCCAGTATGGGAAAAGGCTTTTCCAATTTACCATGGGTCTGAAGCCTCAGTTCTTGATAAAGCTGTGTCCATGCCAACAACGCACATTCACTCAGGGCTTCCCAGGATCCCTCCAGTCAATAGCAAGAGAAATCATTCTACACATGGGAATTGAACGATGCACTCATCAATGGTCAGTTGGCCATTGAAAAACCTTTGCAAGACAGCTAAGGTAGTTCCAAGAGAGATGTCTCTCATTTAGAGAACCTGCATTTAAAAATCAGAGCGGTGCCGGGCAGTGGAGGCACACACCTTTAATCCCAGCACTCGGGAGGCAGAGGCAGGCGGATCTCTGTGAGTTCGAGGCTGGGCTGGACCGACAACCTCCAAAACAACACAGAGAAACCTTGTCTCGTAAAAACCAAAAAAAAAAAAAATCAGAGCGGTTTCAAGTAAGTAACCTAATGATGTGCCGCAAGGTCTTAGAAACACAAGAATAAGCCGGACTCAAAATTGACAGATGGAAAAAATAATGAAGGAACTAGTCGGACACAGAGGTGGTTCTTTGAAAAGATGAACAAGGGGGCTGGGGAGAAGGCTCGTTTGCTATGCAAGTGTGAGAACCTGAGTTCCAATCCCCAGAACCTGTGTAAATGCTGGATGCATAGCAATGGCCTCTGTGCTCCCAGCACTTCTGCAGAGAGATGGGAGGCAGACAGGGAACCCCAGAAGCTTGTGGGTCACCTGCCCTGGCATGTGAAAAAATAACAAAGATACTGTCCTAAGCAAGGTGAAACACACCAAGTGCCCTCTGACCTCTACACACACACACCATGGGGTCTACAGACACAAATGTGCACACACATAGAAAAGAAAAGGTAAGCAAAGTTGACAAATCGCCAAACTAACCAAGACAGAAAAAGAGAAGGCTCTGATTCGAGGGCCATCGAGACGCCTCAGCAGGTGAAGACTCTTGCCGCAGAAGCATGGTGACCTGAGTTCAATCCCAGGAACCCATGTAAAGGTTGAAGGAGAGAAAAAAACCTGAGACATTGTCCTGTGACCTCCACAAGCATCCATGGCTCATATGTCCACACACATGCATCTTGTTTTGGAGCTGTCGGTCCAGCCTGGCCTCGAACTCACAGAGATCTGCCTGCCTCTGCCTCCCGAGTACTGGGATTAAAGGTGTGCACCACCAACGCCCCACACATGCATCTTGAACACACAATAATAATAAGTAAACTTTTTTAGTAAAAATACAATCCAAGCCAGGCAGTGGTGGCGCACACCTTTAATCCCAGCACTCAGAAGGCAGAGGCAGATGAATCTCTGTAAGTTCCAGACCAGCCTGGTCTACAAGAGTTAGTTCCAGGACAGCCTTCAAAGCCACAGAGAAACCCTGCCTCGAAACACCAAATAAATAAATATAATCGAAAGACTAAAATAGAGACATTATTGCAAACACCAGTGAAATCTAGAGGATCATTATGAAATAGTTTTAGGGGTTAGGGAGATGGCTCAGAAACTAAGGACACTGTTGCCAAGTTTGACGACCTGAGCTTGATCCTCAGGCCCTACATGGTGTTAGAAAAAGAACCGACTTCCTATAGTTGTCCTCTAACTTCACAGGTGCATCATGGTATGCATGCTAAATGCATGTGGGCACACATACATGGGGGGTGTAAAATGTAGTAGCATCTCGCCTAGCCAGTGAATCTGTATTAGTGGCCACACCCCTTTGGGCATGGTTTCGGGTGCAGACTGCACCTGGCTAGGTGAGATGCTACTACAGTGAAACGTTTCTAATAATTTGAAATTTTATATACCAATAAATCTTAAAGCTGAAACAAAAGTAATACATATTTAGACACAAATCTGTCAAAAACATAAGTCAAGACGATCTAAACAATCTAACCTGATCTATAAGAAGCAATGAGGGCAAGGCGGTGGCTCACTGTGACACTTGCTGAACTGGGCATAGCTCTGGGCGTTATCTTCAGGGACACAGAAAGGGGAGGGGGAAAGGAGGAGGAGGAGGAGGAGGAGGAGGAGGAGGAGGAGGAGGAGGGAGAGAAGGAGGAACAGGCAGCAGCAGCAGCAGCGAGATCTGGAGAGATGGCTCAGTGGGTAAGAGCTCATGCTAGGGGACCCAGGTTCCGTTCCCAGCACCCACATGACAGTTCACACCTGTCTGTGACTCCAGCTCCAGGGATTGACAGCCTCTTCCGACCCGTGCAGGAACCGAGCACACGTGGGGAAAACGCATTCATCAAATAAAACAGATAAATCTGTCTTTAAGCAGTGTGTAGTAGTAATAAAGAATCTCCCAGTGGCTGGAGAAATGGCTCAGTGATCAAGAACACCGGCTGCTCTTGCAAAGGGCCTGGGTTGGGCTCCCAGAACTCATATGACAGCCCACAATGGCCTGTAATTCCAGTTCAGGGAACCCAGTACCATTTTTCTGTCCTCTGTAGGTGCCTGCACTCATGCAGTTCACAGACACCCATGCAAGCAAACACTCAAACACATAAATAATTAAAATTAATAAATATTTTAAAAGACTCTCCCGGAACAAAATTTGCCCAGTAGTTTCGTTCCAGAAAAATTCAGTTGTCAAGAAACTCTTGCATCTGGATTCCTCACCTACAAGTCTAGGAAATAAACCAATATTTCATTCCCCTGGACAGTCACACACACACTGCATGCTACCTAAGATCCATAGGCCCAGTCCCTGCTTACCAGCAGGGAATCGGGCATCCAAGATGTGCGTAGGAGATTCCCCAAATAACCACAAGAGGGCAGTATCTACCCATGAGACTCTGGCCATTGAATGACTTCTATAAGAAAACCAGCTCCCCTGGAGCTGCTCAGACTGGCCCTGAATTCATGCTCCACCTGCATCAGCCTTCCCGGTGCTGGGATCACAGGTGCGTGCTGAAATGCCCTCAAGGTGTTTTCAAAATACTACTGGAGTTACAAAAAGTCAAAGATTTTAAAGTAAAAAATATTAAGAAAACCATATAATCTGCCACAGCTTCCGCCATTGGAAGGCCAGTGGCTTTCTCTGACATGACCCACTGAGAGACAACATCACTTCTGGAACATTCTGGATAACAATATGTGTGGTGTCAAATCCAGTCATAAGTAAACACCAGCAACTCAAACCAAGGGGTCCACCATAAAACAGCCTGCCAGATGAGTGGCAGATGTCGGTGACTCGAGAGCCTGATGAACTAACTCTCTTCCCGTTTACCCCAGGCTGGCTTTGAACTTGCCATGTGGCTAATCTTATCCTCCTACCTCCACTTTGCCCATGCCATGTTCAACTGATGTGGTGCTGGGACTCGGACCCAGGGCTTCCTGCATGGTAGGCAAGCCCTTCACCAATGGAGTACATCGCTAGCCCTGACACTGCTCCTCTCTGGGTAAGAAACAAAGAAACGTTAAGCCTGAGGGCTTGCGTCCTCTCTTCCCAGTGAAATCCAGGTAGAGCTCCGAAGATTAAACAGCAGGGTTTTTCCATTGTTAGCAGTTGGTCTTAAACACATCTTGTGTGCTTACACAAGAAAGTACCAGTGTTTGAGTAAAACAAGGGGGTGAAAGACCACCACACCTGGAATTTACCTCCAAACAGCTCACAAAAGACACACAATAAGAAGGTAAAGGTAGAAAATGGAGGCGTGTCTTAATTGAGGGTCCATCCTCCCAGAATGCTTAAACTCGTTCCAAGTTGGCATGAAACTATCCAGCACGACTGACCCCTTGTCGCCTTGACACGCAAATCAGTTAAGCCACAACCTTCATTTCATATTCATTCCCAAGATTACACGTTAATATTGACATCGCATATAAACTATTTTCAAATTTTAAAAATCCTGTAGTCTTACAAAGTCAAACACTAAAAACTCCAAAGTATCTTTTAAAATCCAAAGTCTCAACTATGAGCTCCCATAAAATAAAAAATAAATAATAAATAATTTCTTACTTCAAAAGGGAAGAACCCGGACAGAACTGCAATCTGAACAAAGCCAAACTCCAACAGTGTGAATAATATCCGATATCTGGCTCAATTCCCGATCGTCCAGACCCTTCCAAAGGGCTTTGTGGCCCTTCCCCGGCTCCACCCTTTGCAGCACAGAGTCTTCTAGGCTCCCAGCTGTCTCCTCTCTCCACGGCTGCTGTACATGTGCGTATCCTGTGGCAGGGGCATCTCCAAAATGCTGGGGTCTCTGGCTGCATCCCGGGTGCTCTTCACCCAAGCTTCCCCGGGCTCTCTCCGGGGACTCCTGCCCTACCACACAGTGCCAGCCTCGGCTGCTCTCCGTGAGCCCTTCGTGCCTTCAAAACCAGTGCCACCCCAGACAGTCTTACGGTAGTTCAGGTGCCAGCCTGAGAGACAACTTTGGCAGCCTCTGGACCACAGCTGTGTGCTGCCTCTCAGGAAACACCTCCCAGAAGATTTCACCTCAGAGATGAGGGTCTCCTTAATCACGCTGAGTCTTCAGCCCAGCTGACCATTGCTTGCCCCAATGGAGCACAGGTTTCACTTCAGTGGCTCTGGTCTCTTGTTAAGCACAACTGATTCTTCAACTCCAGCTGCCCAGATACCACAGCGTCCTCACCCGAAAGGCCTGGTAGCGTATTTGCTTCCGCCTGAAACTTCACAAACCAGGCCTCCGTTGTCCACACTGCTCTCACCCTTTTTCCTTTCTTCTTTCTTTTTTCCACTTAGCATGGCTGTGTTTAGTGCCTCATAGTCGCTCGAACACTGTTCTTGCCGTTATCATCAACATCGCTTTGTTATTAATCCCTGGGTTTTCTCCCCTACTTTTAATTTAACTAAAAAAAAATCTATTTGCCCACCAGTAATTTTTATAGCAGTCCCAGAAGGAATAGACACTAGTACATACAAAAAACCTGTCCATATACTTTTGTTTTGTGCTGTTTTGTTGATTCTCATGGGAGACCTGCCCTTTCCTTAACAGAAACAGAGGAAGAGTGGGTTGGGGGGTGGGAACAGGGCAGGGAGGGGGGGAGGACTGGGAGGAGATGAGGGAGGGGAAACTTCAGGATGTAAATAAGTTTATTTTAAGTGAATAAATGAATAATAAACGAGGACCACCTGATAGGCCACGATTTTAAAATGTGAATTCATCTTCATCATCTGAGGTCTCCAGTGATTTCCCTTCTTTATTCACTATTCTTCAGGACATTTTATGACCACGAAGCCTCTCATTTTCCTCTGGGCTGGTGCTTCATATACATGCCAAATGTCACATACATCAGTATCATATACATCTTCTCACAGGAGTGACTGGATCTAACACCTGGGTGCCCAGTAACATGGGCACATCATCTCACGATAACCGCTTTAGAGTCCGTGGTGCCTAGAAGTCTATTTATTAGTTCTTTGTGGAATTAAAGTTGAGTGATTACTCAAGTTCTGTGTAAGGGTTTGGCTTGCACAGAAGGCGCTATATTCCTCAGCACATTGGGGTGATAACGGCCACTGCTCCCAACATTCTCATCTTCCAAGCTCCTACAGAATGGCTCACTGAGCTCTCAACACTCAATGGATGTTTTAGCCCAAAGTTCCAAAGTCCGTCCACACTCCTCCCCAACAACATTCTTGGGACTGTCACAGTAATTCCCCACTCCTGGTAACAACTTGTCTCAGGGTTTCTATTGCTGCAATGAGACACCATGACCAGAAGCAAGTTGGGGAGGAGAGGGTTTCTTGGCTTTCACTTCCATATCACTGTTCATCACTGAAGGAAGTCAGGACAGGAGCTCAAGCAGGTCAGGAACCTGGAGATAGAAGGACATGCAGAGGCCATGCAGGGCGATACTTACTGGCTTGACCTGCCTAGGACTACCAGTGCAGGGATGACCCCATCCACAGTGAGTCGGGCCGCTCCATCAAGCACTAATTCTAAAAACTGCCCTACAGGCTTGCCTATAGCCCAATCTTAAGGAAGCGTTTTCTCAACTGAGGTTCCCTCCTCTCAGATGATTTTAGCTGGTGTCAAGTTGACATAAAACTGTGCGGTACCATCAGTGTATGGGAAACCATGGAAACTCTTTGTGCTATTCCTGGGGCTTTTCTGTGTGATAACTTTGCAGGGAAGGTGGCCAGGGCATGCCTTTTGCTCAGTAGCAGTAACAGATCGCAGTGGCTTGTATTCATGGACACTTTCAAAGCACTGGGTCACCTTTGACCCCGATACCCTCTGTCAGCCACCCCATCAGGCTGTGGTGACTTCCTCTTGGCCACAAAGAAACCTGACAAACAGGCTGAGGACGTGACTTGCCCTGGGTCCCACAGCCTGAGTCTGTGGCATGTCTGGGGTGAGAACTTGAGCTTCTTTGACCCCCCCACACACACACTCTCAGATGTCATCGCCACCTCACGGCAGGGTCCCACCTCACGGCAGGGTCCCAAAGTCACACATGTGATAGGGAGGCTTGCAGGGAGCACTGGCTGCTCTGTTTTTTCTGAAACACTGAGGGAATTAATGAGGTCAGGGGGCAGGACTAAATTTAGTTAGGTCCAGCCTAGCCTGAAGCCAGTGGTGTGAGCCCATAATCAAACTTCTGTTTCAGTGTCATTCCAGCTGCTGTGACAAATGCTCCAATATCGGGGAGCAACTCGGAGAAGGAAGGATTTATCAGCCTTTCAATTGCCGGCTACAGCCCATCACTATAAAGCCAAGGCAGGAACTCAAGCAGCTGGCCACGTCATAGGCACAGTTAAGGGCATCCAACATCCTTCTCCCCGCTGTGCGGACGGCCATCCCAAAGAGGCCAAGAGGACGAATCCACTCTCCCCAGCCCCTCCCAGCCACCCCTCCCAGTCTTTGTCTCCCCTGTGGGGAAAGGAACGCACTCGTGCAAGCAGAAGACAGAGAGCTGGTGGCAGCGTGGACTTTATTGGGGAGTGAGTTTGCCAGAGCCAGAGCAAGTTACTTCTCTGTGCTCTTGGGGACACCGGGAGGCTTTTGCGAATAGGCGAGGCAGCACAGGGAGGCATCGGGACACAGATGCATGAAGGTTTCTTGCCTCATGCAATAAGTTCGGCACGCCCCTTGGCCATTCCAGCACCGTTTGAATTCACTGCTTCCTGTGTGGATGAATCGGGTCACAGGTTAGACCACTGGTCACAAGTTGGACTAATAGATTAGGTCATGCTGGTGATAGGTTAGCTCTCTGTCATGTGTTAGACCGTAAGTCATAAATGAGAGCACTGGGTTGTAATGGAAGTGGCAGATCTCATTCTAGGTAAGCCCATCCGTCACAGGTTAGACCAGTGGCGAAAGGAATAATTGTCCAGGTAAAGACACCCACCCGGTACTCCCTTAGCACTCTAAACAGTGCTCCGTCATTACAGTCTGCCTCATTCCAGTCCCTGTTATAACGGTGGAGAGGGTGAGGCTCAGGGAGGTCAATAACCTTAATGAAACCGTCGTAGTCACACGGCAAAATCAGACTGAGAGCCAAAACAGCCTCCATTACACAAACTGCCCCGGCACAAAGGGAACTCTTCAGTGCGAGCTTCCATCCATAGAAAGGGATGGCTTTGGGGAACTTGGCCTTATATTTGGGGGTCATGGCATGGATGACGTCTCATTTATTCACTGAGCAAATATGGAGCAGTGGGGATACCACAATTTAAAGTGAAGGAAAGTGCAGGGGAGACGACTAAAGTGAAGCAAATACTTAGAGCCTGTGGTAAGCACTCCTGGGAACCAGGACACCGTGGTGGCCATTGAAGCACAAGTGGATAAAGCAGGAAACAGAAGCTCTCAGGTTTGCCTGGGACAGCCCATTCCAGACATGTGACCTCAGCAAGAAGACAGCCAGCAGGGATGGGAAGTGACAGGGGCAGCTTCCCTCCATCTTCCTGGACTGAGCGGCCCCTCCGTGTCCTCAGAGGACGCTGCCAGCCCCGCCTGCAGGTTTACTCGCCCTGCTGACCCTGCCTCGCAGCCCAGCAGAGCCTCTAGAAGGACCCAGAAATGCCCTCACAGTCTCTAGGAGTCACAGTCTGCCCTCTGAAGATGGTGTGCCACTAACGGTGAACCATGCCGTGTGAACCTGGCTCTGTCGCTTCCCAGTGGACTGACCTTGGCCTTGGAGTCTTCGTCTATACCACTCTCTTTCTGAGAGTAGTCATGGGAACCAGGCGCATTGTAAACGGTCAGTAAGCAGGAAGTGAGGTTATCAGGATGAAACTCGGGGGCCCAAGTCTACCAGCATCCACTCTAGGGCATTTTCCTCACTTTCCAGACAAGGGGTGTGCCCCAGACCCCAGACCACTGAGCCATGATAGATTTAGAAACAGCACTCAGTCAACGCCCTCAGCATATCATTGCCTTTGACCTTCCAGAGGGCTCAACGATGGGGTTTCCACACACAGTGTGCCTGTTCACCTGCTCTCAGGTCCTTGCGTTTAGACCTTAGGGCTTAGCCTCCCACGCCTGTGCCCCGCCCCAGCATCACTGGCCTCCTCTGCCGACTGCTGCTTGCCATTCCCGCGGTCTGAGACATCCCTCCTTGTATCCTGTTCACTCGGGGCTCTGCTCAAACCTGCCTTCCACAGAGCAATACAGTGTGAGTAGGCAAGGGTAACCAAACAGCTCGGATCACATTCCCTACGTGTGGCTGTGTGAGGGTCACATACGGGTTCTTCAGACCAGTTTCTACCTCTCCTTAGAACGTCTTCCTGCAAAGGGTTTCAGACCCCATATCACTGTTACTCTCCATTTTTTTCCATGTGTTCAATCTGTCTGTAATAAACTCACCACGTGACAGGGAGGCACAGGTCAGTGCTTGAGCATGAATTCAGCAGATGTGAGGTCCTGATTCCCACCCCCAGTACCCTCCAGTAAAACAAAGGAAGGAAAGAAAGAAACACAGCCTTACCTGTTTGCTACATCATTCTCTGTTTATGCATATTTTACATTTTTCCAAAACAGAAGTTTTCTTACTTTTTCCTCATCTTTTGTTTATATTTTGGTATTTTTCAAGACAAGGTCTCAAACTCACTAATGTGATCCAAGCCAGCCTTGAACCCTCAATCTTCCTGCCTCAGCCTCCCAAGTGCTGGTATTACAGGTGTGTACTGTCATGCTCGGATGAAAATAAAAAGTGTTTTAAAAGATGGAAGGACTTCTCAGTGGTTAGGCACACTTACTGTTCTCTCAGAGGACCAGGATTCGGATCCCAGCACCCACATCAGACAGTTCACACAAACACAAGTAACTCCAGCACTAAGGAGTGTGATGCTCACTTCTGGCCTCTGTGGGCCTGAACACACACTTGCACAAACACACACACACACAAACCACCGTATACAGAGAAGTAAAAGAAATCTTTGAAAGTTTTAAAGAGCTGATCAGAGGCCTTCCAGCACCATCCATCCCACCCCACAGACTACTCTAACAGTCAACCTGCCTCTATTGTTCTTATGCATCTTACCACCTACAGGTTATCTGTCTGCCTGATTTCTATTCCCACCAGCCTCCAATAATCATAATAGCACAAAGTTTTAAAACTAGTTCCTATTGAGTGAATCCCATTTTACAGATTTAACAACTATACGTTGCCCCACAAATTAATGGTTGGACCAGAACTTAAACACTAATCTGGCCTCCTGGACCTGGGAGCCTAGTACTCATTTACACACACACACACACACACACACACACACACACACACACACACACACACGTGATTACCTGGTGGCACATGACCCAGGACCAGGAGAGCGACAACGAGCAGAATCAACTGTGCCATGGCCACCAAGCACCAAGTTCCTGGGAGGCCACCAGGACCAAGTCAGAAGAAAAATCTAGCATACAGTCTGTTACATACTCAGCTTTTATGGGCTCCAGAGTCATGGGCAGCAAGCCCAGGTGGGAGGGTGCAGCCACGTGGTTCCAAGGCTGTTCAGCTCTCTCATGGCCAGCTCTGTGTGGACCAGTCAGCCACATCCTCCAGAGGCTGCAAGGCCCTGGGGTCTGTCCAAGGGGGGCAGGGAGAAGTGATGACTCTTCCCAGCTGAGAGAATAAGAAAGCAGTTAAGATTGGCCAGCATCTTCCCATGTGATGGCCAACACTGACTGTCAACTGGACAGCATCTGGAATCACTCAGGAGGCCAACATTTAGGTGTGCCTGTGAGCAAGTGTCTAGGTGGGTCAATGGAAGTGGGGACACTCACCCTAAATGTAAACAGCCACTTGTTGGGCCAGGATCATCCTGGACTGGATAAAAAAGAGAGAGTGAGCAGAGCAGCATGGTTGTGAACCACCATGCGGGCGCTTAGAACTGAGCTGGAGTCCTCTGCAAGAATAGCCAGTGCTCTTAACCACTGGGCCACCTTCCTAGCCTTTCCGCCTCCTCCAAAAATGGAAGAGCCCTTACCTCATAGGGAGCACTGAATAAAACAAGGTCTCAAAGTGTAGTCCCTGGAGCAGCAAACCCTATCTGAGAGAAATTAGAATTCCATAGCCCTACCCCAAATTTCTGAATCAAAGACCCATGGAAGTCTTCCCAGCTTTTCTAAGACACCGCTACAGAGCGAGCCACCAGGATAATGCATGCACAGAGCTTAGCCCGGCGATTGGTACATAATCGTCTAGGTTACATCATGAAAGATGAGAAGAGAAAGGGTATCCCTGGCAGAGGGAGCAGAACAGGCCTGAAAGGGCAATTCACATGGGGAGACCTACTTACAAGAGACTGGAATGTCTACAGACCACGATGTCTTATGCCAAGTTCAGCCTTTTATGTCATAGGCAAATTCGTGTTCATTTGTTTTATGTTTTAGAAAGTTTACCTCCAGTTACTTTTTCCTTGGGAGTTAAAACAGGGCCATGCCCTGTGAGTTTTGTCCAAGTAAGCCCCACCAACAGGTGCCTAGAGGCCACACAGCCAGAAAGTTCCCAGATGGTGGTCCTGACCAAATTCCATCTTGGCCAGTATTTAAAAGTTTTATAAAAGCTGGCCTAGAACTTACTATGTAGCCCAGGTTGACTAGAACTCCTGCCTCAACTCTCAGGTGCTGGAATTCAGATGCATACCACCACATCTAGCTGATCACAATTTTTAATCAAGAGACTCAAACCTAGAGAGGGGAGTTCCCTTGTGTAAGGTCACAGTACAGAGTTACAGAAGTAGGGTTGGAAACCAGGTCACTGTACTCCCAGACTGTGGTGGGTGCTTGTCCAGCACAGCCCATGCTGCAGGTAGAACAGGGAGGCCGAGATAGCCAAGCTATGTGTTTCTAACATCTGTGTCTTTCCCCAATACTAGAATTTATTGAATAACAATAAATCCAAAAGCTATGTCCGATTTATCAGGCAGTCCTGATTTGACAATTGGCCCTTGGCAATCTTAGGTTCTTTTATTCCAATCTTGAGTATTAATATTACACTTCACACAGTTTTATGCAGGTACCTGTCTATACAGGTCTGTGTGTGTGTGTGTGTGTGTGTGTGTGTGTGTGTGTGTGTGTGTGTGTAACTACATGGGGTTAAATTTTAAAACAGCCACAGAGTTCAAGGGTTATTAGTGGAGTCAGAGGGCAAATGGAACCAGAGAAGTCACTGCCAGTGGTTGGACAACACAATAACAACACAAGTGGAGAGCCATTGGAGGCTCGCAGAACCCAGACGCAGGGCTGAACTGTGAGCCAGGGAGGTGGGCAGGACCAGTCTGGCCAGGTGAGTAGACAGATTGCGGATGGATGAATGGTAATTCAGTCAGGCCATGTCAAGCGGTGGAGATTCTACAGAGCTAAAACCCCGGGTAACTGGGAGGCCTGTTGGTCCTACACACACACACACACACACACACACACACACACACACACACACACACCACTGAGCCTATATGGTCGCAGTCTGATTTGATAAGCTAATAGAGGGTGTTTTTTCCCTTACAGGACTCAATTATCTATTGGTCTCTGCCTTGTAGCTGGTGTTCAACAGGTGGTAGTGTCTACACGCCACTCTGCAGGTGCAGTCAAAATGGAGCCAACTGCTGCTTTGTAAAATGGAGTCACCCAAGGCGACGTACACCTGAAAGCCACTGTTCTACTGAAACTTGGAGCAGAGCAGAACCTGATCTCCAGGCTGCGGAAGGGAGTCAGACCAGAGGGAGTTTGTTATTACGGGGGTTGAGCCAGCCTACCTTGCTATGTGGATCTGTTCCAAGCCAGGCACTTGGAGCCCCTCAACCATGACCAGGAGCCCCACCCACAGGTACAGTGTAGCCTCCACAGCTCCTCCCACACACTTGAACCTCTCAAGAGCAAAGGGGGCTCCCCACTCACAGAGCTTGAGTCGTGGCGCTGAAACCAGCTTCTTTCTCCTTTGCCAAGATCAGTCAGTGTCTTCCTGCTCCCACATTCCTTCAAATGAATAACTAACTGATGGATAGATAGGGACAGTGAGAAGGCTCAGTAGGTAAAGCCACTTGCTGCCAAGGCTGACTTCAGTCCCCAAAGCCCACATGGTAGAAAGAGAGGATCAACTCCTACAAATTGTCCTCTGACGTCTACACAGGTGCCATGGCAAGCTCTCCCTGCCCAACCCCCCCAAATAAATAAATGTCTTTTAAACTATTTTTCAAAGGAGACAGTAAACTAAAAGACAGTCACTTTAGTCCCTGCTCCTCACGAGCAAGTGAATAATAAGTGAATTAATGATATCAGAATCAGACATTCCTAACTCTTCGCTACAGAGTACATAGACTTTCTCTTCCTCCAAGGCCCTTTCCAAAATCAACCCTCCACCCTGAGCGTTCTCAGATTGTGTTCTGTGAATTATCTGCATCAGTTATCACTAGGGCATTTGTTTAAAATGCAGACTCCAGAGCCCTGAGCCCAGTCCTGCGGATCTCCTCCCTTGGACGCTGGAACCTGGGACTCTGAACACGGACCAAGTCCCCCCCACACCCCCCAGGCTTCCATCCAGGGCTGAAGTTGGTGTACCCGGTAGGTGGAGGGAAAAAAGGTGGACACGGAGGGACATCCAGACCCAGGAATAAACTCCCCCTCCAGCACCCCATTCCTACACGGCCATCCCCACAGGGAGGACTGGAGGCGGAGGTCTGTAGGGCGGGGACCCGGGCTGCCTTGACAGGGCGGGGCCGCACGGGGCGGGGTGGTTCTGGACCGGGCGGGACCGGCCCGAAGGGCTGTGTGCGGAGGCCGGGGATTGGCGCAGTACCCCACAGCTGGAGCAGCAGGGACTCGGAGCCTCCGCGCGTCAAGGTAAATTTGCCTGTCCGGGCGGAGTTCTCAGGTCGCCTGCATGCAGCGTGACCCGAGGACTGGGAGCCTCGAACACGCGTCCCGGAGGGTTGGGGTGGCAGATCTGGGGCCTCCGAGGGTGGGGGAGCCTAGCACAAGGGACACGACCACCATACCGGAGCACCCAAGGACTTGGGACTCACATCCAGGACCGCGAGTTGGGAAAGTTCCAGCCCAGCCTCCCTGAAAGGGCACTTGATTCCCGAGCCCGATGGGCTCCCCTGATGCACCCTGTTCTGTCACCAAACCAGTTGCTGGGTCCTTCACGGCTTCTGTCCCCCAACAAAAGCTGGAGGCCATAGCGCCAACAGCTGCTGAATTTTTCACGCAGGGGCGGGCCGGGCACGCCGTTCCCATGGCACCAGGGCACTCGGGTTACAGCCAGAGAGATCCCCAGAACCCCTCGCCCTTGCGGGGCACCAACGCGCGCCCGCCCTTCCTCCTCAAACTCTGGGGGTGGGGCGGGGGAGTAATCAAGCAGTCGGAATAAACTTCCCAGAGGCCTCAACCCTCCTCAGCAGCCCCCAACCCTGATCAAGTGAAGGAGGCCATTGGGGAAGGGGGGACAGGGCCTCTGATGCTTTCTGTAGGGTCTCAACTCCTGGAGGGGTGGGGCCGAACCGGGAAGGCAGCCTGTGCTATCGATCCTTAGATGCCCCAGCTCGCTGCGCCTCTCGGCCTGTCTGTGTCATGGGGAAAGGGTCATCCTCAGAATTTGGGAATCTGCCTCTGGGTGTGTGCCTCTGTGTGTTCACAGCCTGTGCCCTCGCCCCTTCTAGGTGGACCCCGGTGAACCCGGGCCTGAAACCAGCAACCCGCATCACCAAGGAGCTGAAGAGCCTCCCCGCAACTGAACCAGAGAGGACTCTGGAGGGAGTCAGTGCCACAGCTTAGCAACACCCAAAGAAGAAGGGACTCGGGCCACGGACTTACTGCGCAGCCCCCTTCTTTTGGAAGGAGGGAAGGAGCCAGGGAAGAGGATGACGCTTAACACCCAGCAGGAAGCGAAGACCACCCTGCGCCGTCGAGCCAGCACTCCACTACCCCTGTCGTCCCGGGGCCACCAGCCTGGCCGCCTGTGCACAGCGCCCCCTACTCAAACCCACCATCCCCGACTGGGTCAGTCAGCCTCCCTCAACCCTCCCATTCGAAAGCCCTCTCCAGCCCAGGATGGGTGGTCCTCTGAATCCAGCGACTCTGAATGCTCTTGGGAGGCCCTCTACCGAGTGGTGCTGCTTGGAGACCCCGGCGTTGGGAAGACCAGCCTGGCCAGCCTCTTCGCAGGGAAGCAAGAGCGAGACATTCATGAACAGCTGGGAGGTAGGAGCCCTGTGGGGTGAGCCAGGCCGGGGCCACGGCACTGAAAAGCCCATCATCGGGGCACAGGGTTACCGAGAAGAGGTGTGCAGGCCATTATAGGGACAGCCACGTATACTAAGAAGCAAATGATGCTCATCTAGCTGGACAGGCCCTAGGGGAGGGAAACTGGGTGAAAGGTACATTATTTATCTCCATGTCATAAGGGGAGAAAATCTGAAACTATGGGTGTCAAGAAATGGCAGGCTTCCACGCAGCTCAGAAACTCCCAGCCCCAAGCCCTCCTGACTCTGAACCCCCTCTCCTCCAATCCCTCAGCCACCAAGACCCGCAACAACAGTAGAATTCTTCCCAAACGGAGGCTTTCAGACCCCCAATTCTGAGCTCTGGATTGCCTTACTCCCCCCAAAATGTATTGAACACACGGCAGGAGCTGCAGGACCATGGGCCCCAGGACAATCAGATACAGGAGTAGGACAGATGACAGGAAGATAGGCCTCTCTCTGCAGGGCAGGCTTTGAGGACACGAGGTTTGTAGGGAAGGAGTGGCTAACCACAGAGAGATGGGGACCATCCCCCCTCTCCAGAGTTGACTTTCCTGGAAGTAGTGTGCATATACACATGCATGTATTACAGATGGGGAGACTGACGCCGGCGATAACGTGACCTGCCTAAGCAGGTTGGGGAGTCAGAGCAGGTTGGGGAGGATGCCCAGGTTACATTCATTCAACTGACGAGACCCGGCTTCTTGTGTCTGCCTGCCCTGTACCAAGTACTATGCTCACAGTGGGGACACATGGCCACCTAACAGGGGCTGTGGACCACCGGGAAAGACAGGATTCCCTACCGCAAGGAGATAGGAAGGAGTGACTACTGACACAAACGGGGAAGTGAGGGAACACCGTCTCCAATGGCCTGCTCCACCCTGAGATTCTACCCCCACCACTTGATTGCAGATGTGTACGAGAGAACACTATCAGTGGATGGAGAGGACACCACCCTGGTCGTCATGGACACCTGGGAGGCCGAAAAACTGGTACGACACTGTAAGCCTGCTTAGGGTGAGGGATGCTAAAGCCAACATGAGATGGAGCACACAGAGCAGCGCTCAGGGCAGGGGCCGGTCTCAGCGCCCTCTCCCAACACCGCATCTTTTCCTAAGGGAGAAGAACCTCATAACCTTGACCCCTTTCCTCACTCCACCACATCCCCTCATCCCAGAATGCACTTCTCCCTTTGCATGCCTCCATGTCCTTATGGCCACTCCCACACTTGGCAAGACAAAAACAAAAAACTGCTGGATTTGACCTCAAAATGCCTAAGGGTCACACACACACACCTTCCTTTTTCTTACTAGTTATGTAGCTTTGTGCAATTAACAGACTTACCCTGAATTTCAATCTTCTCATCTGATAAATGGGCCAAGCATTCCTTCCCTATGAGCTGACTTTTTTTTTTAATATTGCTATTTGTTTACAAAGGTTCTGGGGATCAAACCCAGGACCTAGAGCCAGCTGTGCGAGTGTCTTCCCACTGAGCAGGTTGCACCCCTAGCCACATCATCAGCTGGTTTTTAAAAACTCTGGTGCAGCTGAGGGGAGAACATGAAAAGAGCGCCCCGCAGGCATGGAGAACTATCTGGGGTGATTGTGATAGCTGGGGAGGGCGTGAAAAAGGAAACCCAAAGGTTACCCCCCCTTCCCTGCCAGAACAGGAAGGCGACGGTTTTCTTGTTTGAGTCTTCTTTTCTCTTGTTACACGGGCAATTGGTGCTTATTGTAGGGCTTTGATTAACTAATTGAACGTGAACTGGGAATTAGCAGAGTACCTGTTGACACACTCTGAATTACAAGGCTCTGAGTTCAATAGGTGCTTATTGTAGGGCTTTGAATAACTAATTGAACGTGAACTGGGAATGCAGTTCAATTAGCAGAGTACCTGTTGACACACTCTGAATTACAAGGCTCTGAGTTCAATCCGTAGCAATGCACGAACTATGTATGACGGTGTATGCCTGTAATCCCAGGAACTAAAGGCAAAAGGATGCAGAAGTTTAAAGCCATGGTGAGTTCAAGGCTAGCCTTGGCTACATGAGAGTCTGTCTCAAAAAGGGAAGGAGAGAGAGGGGGAGGAAGGAAGGAAGGAAGGGAGGGAGGGAGGGAGGGAGGGAGGGAGGGGGGAGGGAGGGAGGGAAGAAGGGAGGGAGGAAGGACAGAAGTCAAAACATCAGCAGGTATATCCTCTCTCTAAAGGGATTCAACTGGCAAACCCCATGGCCCTGTCAAGTGCCAAGCACAGATTAGGAAACATAGACACCTAATGGGCTTTTTGAGCTCCAGAAAGGACAGACCCCTCCCACAAGAAAACATGAAGCAGAGATAGTTATGTCACCTTTTCCCTAAACTTAAAGCCCCTAAAGGAAGCTTAGAGTACAGTGCTGGGCCTGGCTTGGTGGCACATCGCTTTAATCCCAGGAGGCAGAAGCAGGTGGATCTCTGTGAGTTTGAGGCCAGCCAGAACTACATAGTGAGTTCCAGGACAGCCAGGGCCGTGTAGAGAGGCCCTGTTTCAAATTAAAAAAAAAAATACGTGGGCAGTGCTGAGGGGCTAACAACATTGCTGACAGAACCTAAGAAGAGAAGAAAGAAGCTATGTGGGCGGTTCCTTTTTGTTCTTTTAGATAGGGCCTCCCTGTGCATCTCCATTTTTTAGATTTTTTTTCTTGTATATTTCTTATTTTGTGTGGGAGGGCCATAAACACATGCAGAAGTCAGAAGACAATCTGCTGAACTCAGTTCTCTCCCCTACCTTATGGGTCCAGGGATTGAACTTGCACCATCAGACTTGGCAGCAGGTGCTTTTAGCTACTGAGCCATCTCACCAGCCCTGGCATCAAATTCTTTTTTTTTTTTTTTTTTTTTTTGGTTTTTCGAGACAGGGTTTCTCTGTATTGTTTTGGAGGCTATCGGTCCAGCCCAGCCTCGAACTCACAGAGATCCGCCTGCCTCTGCCTCCCGAGTGCTGAGATTAAAGGCGTGCGCCACCACCGCCCGGCTCAAATTCTTGATTCTCCTGCTTCAGCCTTCCCAGTGCTGCAATTACAGGCATGCCTCACCATGTCTGGTACGGCCAATATCTTTCAGCAAGTATAAAAGGAAGTCTGGGTGGGGATGAGCATAACGGTGTTTTTAAAACAGCAACTGGGGTTTGTGGAGCACACCCTCTCCCTCTAACACTGGAAAGCCCTGACACACACTGTGACGTGCACCTAAAGCTATACATATCATTGGTCTTCGGCTTCCCTTTCTGTCGACAAGGAAACAGGTGTTCAGAGGGCTTAGTGTGTCCAGAGTGTTCAGAGAGCAGGCAAACTCCTGCCCCGATCTACAAGCTCGCTCCACGCTTACACTGGGACTGTGTCTACAAGCTTGCTCCACGCTCACACTGGGACTGTGTCCTGTCTGCCCCGGAAGCCTCACTTTCAGCTTATGTTTCACTTCTTCACGGGCTGGATCACTGGAAACGCTTGTTAGGTGTCTGTAGTGGGCCAGGATGCTGAGGACCCTGGAGTGAATGAGTCGCTGCCAGCCTCGAGGAGCTCGAGGGCCAGATGGGGGAGAACTGCTTTCTGGATGTAGTGGAATAGTGCGGGGTAGTCAGTGAGTTGGGCAGACCAATCAGAAGCCAGGCATGGGTGGCGAGGTTGGGCAAAGGTGCCTGCCACCGAGCCTGATGGCCAGAGATCACCCCACACAGTGGAAGGAGAACCCACTCCTGAAAGTTATCCTCTGGCCTCACCACTGCACCCACGCTTTTGGTTTTTTATTTCTATTTTTGTAATGTGGGTTCTGGAAACCAAATTCAACCAAACGCAGATCCTTGTTGTGTTCAGCAAGCACTTTTCCCGGTGCCCTGTCCTCGAGGCCCTGAGAGTCTGATTCTACCCAACGGCTATTTGACCTGAGAAATGACCAACACAGCTGTTGAGTGTGCACCCACCCCTGCCTGACACTTGTCTGTTCATCTGTCGCACTCTAGAATCTTCCTCCCTTACAGTTCTTCCCGCCCTAGCCGCTAAGACTGACTTGTCCCTTCTCTGGACTGCCAGCCAGCCTACTGGGCCTGCTCTTTCTTTCAAACCCTGCCCACTGGATCCCTTCCAAACTATTCAGGTTTTACCTGACACCTCACTCCGACTCTCCTTCCTCGACACTTTGGTGGTCCCCCATGACCCTCCCCACCCTGCCCTGTACCTCCCTCCCCGCAGCCTGCCTTCCATGCCGTGAGACTCAAGATTTGGACTAGGCCTCACTAAAGGCTTGAACTCGACACTCCTGGAGCACCGTCCCCGTTATTCTGGTTTTCCTTCCCTGGGTCAAATGACTAGAAAGAGATCTACTTCTTGAGTGTCCCTTTCTGTCCCTTTGTCCTCACACCCCACAGGTGGCCTTTCAGCTCTCTCCCCAAAACTACTGAGTAAGGCCTCCCCTGAATCCAGCCTTCTGTTTGCCTCTCTCTATCCCTCTGTCTCTCTGTCTCTCTCACACACACACTTTATTCTTTTGCCAGTTTTGTGTGAGTGTGTATGTTGTATGTGTACGGTGATGTGTGTATAAGTGCTGTATACACTTTTCCATGTGCAGGTGTGGAGGTCCGAGGACCAATCTGTAGTTGGCTCGCTCCACTGTGGGATCCAGGAATCATATCCAGGCTTTCACTGCAAGCACTTTTATCCACTGAGCCTTCTCAATGGCCCTCTCGTCCTTTCTTTTTTCTTTTCTTTTCTTCTAATTCTGCATTGCAGAAAGACTCAAGAACTGTGTCCCAGGACCAGACTCTCCTCACAAACTAGATACAGTTGAATGAGGCAGGTCTGATGGGCCCAGCACTCCAGGGGCTGTGGCAGGAGAAATGCTCCAAAATCAAAAGCACCTCTAGGCTATAGTGTAAGACCGTGTTAAAAGGAACAGGAGGGGGCGAGGGAGAGAAGGAAGGGGAACAGGCAAAGCTAGACCCTTCTTTGCCGGAGAGGGTCCCCACCCAGTTTCTGTCTGTAATCCCCAGCATGAAGTCGGCCAGGGAAGAGGGAAGAAAGCAAAGTAGCATACATCAGATTTCTGAGCAAAAAAACTTAGGCAGTTTTCCCAAGGTGACACGAGGCACTACGATAGAATTTGCTCCCCAAAACTATCCAAAGTAGAACCTACTCCACCCTTTAGACCAACAAAGCCTCTTTGTCAGCCCGGGCTGGGCACCCTCTGAGGATGGGCCTGGGGCCCCTCCCCCTCTTTGTCAGCCCGGGCTGGGCACCCTCTGAGGATGGGCCTGTGGCCCCTCCCCCGCAGGATGAAAGCTGGAGCCAGGAGTCGTGCCTGCGGGCGGGCAGCGCCTACATCATCGTGTACTCCATCGCAGATCGCAGCAGCTTCGAGAGCGCTTCAGAGCTCCGGATCCAGCTGAGGCGCACGCATCGGGCCGACCACGTGCCCATCATCCTGGTGGGAAACAAGGCAGACCTGGCCCGCTGCCGGGAGGTCTCCATAGAAGGTGGGTTCCCTACCCTCCTCTCCTCTCTCCTTCAGACTTACTGACCCTCCTCCAGTGCTCGCATCAGGGAAGGTCTGTGTCCTCAGCCTGGCGCGCTCCCTCAACTACTTACCTGATCTCATCCTCTCTCACCCCCCAAACCGGTCCAAGTCCTACAGGCCTCTGGCTCCACACCCCAAAACTCTGCCCTGTCCCGCCACCCCCACTTCGTCCCAGCCAGTCCCTATATTCCTGTAGCCCTATTGGATCATTCCTCCTTGACAGCTGACAGACGAGACTTCCAGAACCACAGCTTACCTTGTGACCCTTACTTAAAATTCTCCTTGTAGCTCCCCAAGATGATAATCAGACACACTCTACCCATACCCAGTGTCTACCAGCTTGAAAAGAGCCACTAGTGGCTCCTGTATAAATTGGAGAGATTATAAATTCAAGTTTTGGATGAAGCACTTAGTGTATTGGCCAGTAATTACAAACCAAAACTTTTAAAGGTAGGTATAAGTTGTATTTGCAGTGGGAGAGGAAGAGTTTAACAAAGTTCATCTTTCTAGTGGAGGCCATAAAGATCTTAAAACGGTCGAATTTTCGCAGCCTCGTTCTGCTGAATATCAGTCAGTCCCTATCTTAAAACGGTCGAATTTTCGCAGCCTCGTTCTGCTGAATATCAGTCAGTCCCTAGAACAAGCCAATGTCTCAAAGCCCCGCATCATTTCCGCCTGGGTTCCCTGACACTTGAAATACTTACATAGGCATCTGGGAAAACTGCCCACACGCCTTTAATCCCAGCACTAGAGAGGCAGAGGCAGGAGGATCTCTGTGAGTTCAAGGCCAGCCTGGTCTGAAGCGGGAGGTCTAGGACGGCCAAGGACACACAAAGAAACCCTGGTGCGGGGCGGGGCTTCCTGAAAGTCTGAACACACCTCTTCCCCTTTATCTCTGCCTTCTGTCTTTGGCTTCGCCCACCTCAGAGGGCCGCGCCTGTGCAGTGGTGTTCGACTGCAAGTTCATCGAGACTTCAGCCACTCTGCAGCACAATGTGACGGAGCTTTTTGAGGGCGTGGTGCGCCAACTGCGCTTGCGCCGCCAGGACAGCATGGCCCGGGAGGCGACATCACCGCGACGTCGGGCCAGCCTGGGCCAGCGCGCCCGCCGCTTCCTGGCACGCCTGACAGCTCGCAGCACACAACGCCGGGCACTCAAGGCCCGCTCCAAGTCCTGCCACAACCTGGCTGTGCTCTGAAGCCAGCACCTCTCTGGGGTGATGGGACACTGTGGTGCCACCGAGGGCTAGACCTCTGTGTGTCGCCTGGAGTGGTGGACCTTGCCTGTTGTCAAGATGGCCAGAGAGCTTCAACAGGAACCAAGGCTTTGAGGACCCTTCCTTCCTGGGGAAGTGATGGGTGCACCATGGGGCTATAAACCCAAGCCGGGCACAAGTAGGGTTTTATTTTGTTTTGTTTTTTACAGGGTGGGTGTCTTTTTGTAAAACTCTTTCTTGTCCCTGGGCTATGACGAGCTCTCAGAACGTTCCACAATAAGCCAGTCCAGGATGCACGGACCTCACTCCCTGGGCTCCTCTAGGCATCTCCACCTCCTCTCCAAACATCCAACTTGACTGTAGACTGGTTTGGCCTGCTGGCCTTGATGTCTTGGACAATCAATAAAGTCAGTGAATTCGTTATATGCTCAGGCTCTCCTCCCAGCTGCCGGATTTAGTTTCCACTCCAGGCCCTGAGACAGACACATTGTGGGTCACATGAACACCACAATGCTAAGTACTTGCTGTTTGCTCATTAACTCACTTTTAGATTCTAGAACCACAAAATGCTATCTCTCGAGAACTCATCCCGGCACTGTAATCTATTGCTTCTGATTGTGCGAACTGACTGTGCCAAGTTGTCACCCTGTCACACGTGCCAGGAAGCTCCAGCATGGAGCTGCACACCAGCCCCTGTCCTTTTTATGCGTGTGTGTGTGTGTGTGTGTGTGTGTGTGTGTGTGTGTGTGTGTGTGTGTGATGTCTGCACAATGCCTAAGAGCAGAGTGTGACTGCTAACCTCTTCTGGCCACTTAGGAAAGGGGGTTTCAGAGAGGGCAAGCAGGAACCCGGAAACACACCGCTGCTTTAAGGGAGGCACTGAGACCTCAGGTCCTACAAGCCCCTTGCCACAGCCCTCTTTAGGAAGGGAAAGGGTGAATAGCTCAGTCAATAAAGAGCTGAAATGAGGCTGGCGCATGCCTTTAATCCCAGCACTCAGGAGGCAGAGGCAGGCGGATCTCTGTGAGTTCGAAGCCAGCCTGGTCTACAGAGTGACTTCCAGGACAGCTAAGGCTACACAGAGAAATCCTGTCTCAACCACAAAAGAAAATGAAAGAAAGGAATAGAGCTGAGAAAATGAGGTCCTAAGTTCCAAAACTCAGGCAAAGAGCCAGCCTGGCTACAATCCCGTAAATCCTGCACCTAGGAGTCAGAGAGACTTATTTGATGAGCCTGGAGCCAATCAGAGGCTTTGTCTCTGTGACAGGAGATACAGATGTGATTGAGGGTTCCAGGTTCTTGACACAGTGAGGTCAGTGATTTAATCCTAGCACTGCAAAAAAAGAAAAAGAAAAAAGAAAGAAAGGAAAAAAGTGTTAAAATTTTATGAGGAAGGTGGGAATAGGGGAATAGTGGCACATGTCCATAAACACAGAACTCAGGAAGCTGAGGCAGAAGAATCTAGAGTTCAAGCCAATCCAAGGAAGGGAGAGGGAAACTGGGTGCATACCCATAATGGTAACACTCAGGGAATGCAGAGGCAGGAGGATCCCCCGAAACAGGCCAACCAGGTCTATGTAGCCAGGTGCTAGCTCAAAACAATGTGAGGACATAGATTTTCTAAAATAATTTTGCATATAATTTAAGGGGGCTGGCATGAATTCCGTGGAACTCAGTCCATTAATCCCAGGATAGACACTAATTTAGTTCAGAGCATTCGTTTTCCAAATGTGGAAAGTGAAGCCCCGAGAGGAGCATAGAGCACTCTAGGGTCACCCGGCAGTGAGTTCCAGGCCCCCAGGACCCAGCCCCCTCCTCTGACCTCCCTTGGCTGTGAGGGATGAAGGACGTGGTGAGGCTTCCCGCTTGGCTTGGGACCCAGCTGGGTGTAGGGGTCAGGTCAGGAGTTTCCATTTCGGTAGGATGGGGGAGGTGGGACTGACATTACTTCGAGAAGAGAACAAGATGCAAACTGTTTGGATCATCCTGTCTCTAACTCCTGACACCCCGGCCTCCAACCAGCTGTCCCCCCATACTCCTGGACCCTGCACAGGGGTCACCCATGGCCCAGTCCAGAGGATGAGGTGCAGGAAAAACGTGCCCTGGGGTGTCCGGCTCCCCCAGGCTCACCAACTCACTGGTCACCAGTCATGCCCAGGAAGCGGAGGAGGGTCTCCCCACCCGAAGTTGTCTCCGGCCTGCGGTCGAGAATGGGGGTGGGAGGCTGTAACTGTGGAAAGTTGGCAGAGGCCGCCGGCAGCAGCCGGGAGAGTGGAAAAAATGATATCAAACCCGGAAAAATGCAGGCCGGATGGAGGGCTGGGTGCGAGGGCGGGAGGAGGGGAAGACAGCTGCCTGGACTGAGAACCCAGAGAGAAGGCCCGCAGGAGTTTCCCAGCAAGCCTCGCGAACCGTGGACAAGCGCCGTGCTCCCTCCGTTCTTGCTCCACAGCTATTTACTGAAGGTCTACTATGTGCCAGGCAGAGAGCCAAGCCCTCGGGAGACGCTGCTGGCTGCCTGGAGCTCACCCTGCTTGGTAGGAAAGTATACTAGAGAACAACCAAGTGGATAAAGGAGTCCCAGGAAAAAGCAGCCATCAAGGAAGGCTCCCAATTCACCCCTGGGGAAAGGGAAGCCAGAAAGAGGACAGACCTTCCACCCGGCCACACAGAATGGACCGGAAGCCAGGGTGGGGAAAGGGTGTGTGGGGACAGCTGGGGAGCCTACAGCCAAGGGTCTATATCTGAACTCCGTTACTTTCCCCATCTTGTGCCTCATTTCCCCCTCTATAAAAAAAGATGTGTGACAATTCCCACCCCCAAATTTGACTCGAGGATGAAGTGTTTTAAGATGCAAAATATGAGGCTGAGGAGATAGCTCAGTGCTGTACAGACTCCATGCAAAAATAAATAAATTAATTAATTAATTAATTAATAAAATAAAATCAGGTCCCATGGCACAGGCTTGTGATTTCACCACCGAGGAGACAGACACGCAGACTCCTGACCGCCAGCCTAGCTTACTCTGTGAGCTGTAGGTTCCAATGAGAGACTCTGTCTCAAATTTACAAAGTGAGCCCGAGGTGTCACAAGCCTTTAGTCCCAGTGCTGGGGAGGCAGAGGCAGTTCAGGCCAGCCTGGTCTACAGAGTGAGTTCCAGGACAGCCGGGGCTACACAAAGGACCTCTGTTTTGAAAAACTAGACAAAGAGAAGTGGATGGATGACAGCTAAGGCACAATACTGAGGTTGACCTGGAGTCTCCGCACATGTATGCTATTGCATTTTAAGACCTTGGAGAAGTCCAGTCTTGAGGGTAAGTCAGCTTAAACCGTGAGGATTTGCCTGGAAGTTTCTGCCCAGAGAAGCTGCCACTGGAGAACTTTAGGGAAATTTCTTTCTTCCTTGGGCCTCAGTTTCCCCATCTTCAAAAGGAAGGAATTGAATCTGCGCATGTATTGCATGTATGTACTCCCGTGTTTAGTTGTCTGTGGTTCCCAGCCCGAGAAATGGAGGCTCACGAGGCAAAAGTTACATGCTCTTCTGTCTCCAGCTCCAGTGGCTGTAGCAGTGCTGGCTTCTATGACCACCTGTGAATGCTGACAGGATTACTCACAGACCTGTAGACTGTAGGTGTCCGTGGAATGCAAAGCAGGGACAGCACATGAGAAAGCCACCGTGCACAGCCTACCCTGACTTAGAAAGGTCTTCCGCACCAAAACAAACGAGATCAACGACTAGGAAATATTTCCAGGGTCAAGCCCTGTGCGTTGGTTCCTGTTTTCTCCTGTCATCATGCCCCCCTCCTCGAGAGCGACATTTACAGATGAGCATCTGAAGTTAAGAGAACCTAAGAAGTGGGCCCAGCACCAGTTCAACTCGGTCACTGTCAAGAGGCATCCTGGAAGGGCTGAGGAAACTGAAGGCAGAGAAGAGAGGGTCCAAGCTCAAGGTAGTGAGAATAACAGCAAATGTCACTTACGCTGTGTGCAAAGTACTGTCCTAGGTGCTTTCCATAAGAAACTTAGTAAGTCCTCAAAACCGGTGACATGGTCACCATGCCAGTTTTGAGGTGGAGAAATTGTTGCACAGAGTTTGTCCCCAGTCAGGGTTGCAAATAGTGCCAGAATCCAAACTCTCGCAGTCTAGTCCCACAGTGGCTGGGGTTCACCAACAAACACTGCACCCGATTGCCTGGCCTAGGGACAGCACAGAGCAAACAACGTTGAAAGCCCTCAGCCTCCAGCTGGGCCACTGCCTCTCAAAAGGACAGTACTGTTATGGAAAAATATGATAAAGACTGGGAAGATGGATGTCTCCCCAGGGGCCCCAAGGCTCCTCTGAGTCCCCATCTTTGCTGTGGAGGAGGGTCATGCACTGTGCTGGCCTGATCCAGAAGAGATGAAGGCCACCTGGCTCCTGAGACAACCCAGCCGCTCCTCAGAATACAGAGGCTCCCTGTTGGTGAAATGGTTGGGTTTCTCGGCCCAACCCGTGAGGCTTCTGCCTGGAACCTCTCAAAGGGATCAAGTTCCAAACACAGCTTCCTGTCCTTGGGTGGTGGGAAATCCAGGGTCTCACAGGACCCAGCTTGCCTTCACTCAGCAAACGTGGCCAAGAGTCTGTGTGGTGAAGGAAGGGCTGGAGCACAGAGGGCATCGCCGGCGGACATGTACAACTGCCTGGCTCAGAAGGGAAGGGGAGATGTGGGAAGAAACAGCTTTGTGCGGCTCCTTCAGAGCAATTGAGTGTCTCCAGACTCTGGCCACTCAAGTGACCTTAGACAAATCAAAATATACAGAAGGGAGAGATTATGGTGGAATTTGTCACATGGCGGTTTCTGTCTCAAGAACTACTTGAACATTCAAATTTAACAGCTTGAAAAAATATACAACGTTCCATCTCAATTTGAGCACTGTCCCCTTCGGTTCAGGGTTCAGTTAAAAATAACACTAATGATGGGCTGGAAGCTTTGGGTTCACCAAAGTGTGTGGTTTCCCCCACTCCCATCTGCTCCAAAGCGAGGGACGTGTGTGTGTGTGTGTGTGTGTGTGTGTGTGTGTGTGTGAGAGAGAGAGAGAGAGAGAGAGAGTGTGTGAGAGAGTGTGTGTGTGAGAGAGTGTGTGTGTGAGAGAAAGTGTGTGTGTGTGAGAGAGAGAGAATGTGTGTGTGAGAGTGTGTGTGTGTGTGAGAGAGTGTGTGTGTGAGGGAGTGTGTGTGTGAGAGTGTGTGTGAGAGAGTGTGTATGTGTGTGAGAGAGAGTGTGTGAGAGAGTGTGTATGAGAGAGATAGTGTGTGTGAGAGAGTGTGTGTGTGTGTGAGAGAGAGAGTGTGTGTGTGTGTGAGAGAGAGAGAGAGAGAGAGAGAGACGTTCTCATGCTTCATGGATGAGACCAGTTGGTAGACAACACAGGCTTTTGAACTGGA